TTGGGAACTCACTTAGGTATGATTCCCCCTAGCCACTAGCCAGATTAATGATTGATGATCTCTAACTTGTTTCACTTTCATTCACAATGCGGAGAATCCTTGACTAAACCTTGAATCTCGACTAAAGGATCAAGGCCCTCTTGAGTCAATTGCCTAGAGGGACGTATCCTTCTCTAGAACAACCGATCAAGGCGTTCTGAACTAGATTCCCTCTATCGAATGAGGTTCTCAATCGATACAAAGCATTGAATCAACCCTCGACTAAAGCAATCGATCCAATACTATCAATCTATGGTGCTCTATTGACCTAATCAGGTATTCGCTCTCATAGGATTAAAGCAGAATCAATAATCTCGACTAAAGCAGAATTGAATCATGAAAACATGCATAGATTGAATATGAACTCAAGATTATCAAGTAAGAGTACTCATACAATCATCCAATCAAACAAACATAGCTAGGGTTCCTCAAAACCTAAGTGAAGGGAAGTTACTCCATAGAGAAGAGAGACTGCAGTAAGAATCTTCAGATGATCAGTCTTCAAGTCCGGGCTTGTTCCTCGAGCTTCCAAGGCGAAAAAATCCTCCAATTCCACTCCAAGAATGTCCTCAAATCGCCCTCTCTCTCTTTGGTTCGTCCCTTGGGTGTTTGGGATCCAAAACCCAGCTCTCCCCTGCAAAAATGCACATAATAGGCTTTTAATAGCCTGTGTTCGCGATCCCCGGTCATAATCCCCGGTCGGGGATTTCGAAACGCAGCGCAGCGGTACAGGGGATAATACCCGATCGGGTATTTTTGCTCTCTGGCCGGGACCCCTTCTGTTTCTAGACGTCCAAAATCGATTTTTCCCGACCTCTCTTAGCGATTTACCCGGCCGGGTATTATTACTCATGGCCGGGTATTTTGCTCCTCCAGCCCCCTTCAACTCAAACGTCCTCCTTTTGACCCGAAACTCGTTTCCTCGCCTTAACGTCAACGCCAAGCCCTGAAATATGACATAAACACACAACCTAGCGTGAAATCGGCTTAAAACACGAGAATCTCTTCTCCAATGGCTCAAGAATAGGGGTATAAACATGTGTAATTATTGGTCTATCAACTATCTCATAGAGTTCAATCACTATCATCGCCAAAATGGATTCAATCAACATCCCATAAAGCCATCTTTGATAAATACAAGTGAATGGGGGCGATAGATGCACATCAGAGCTTGATTGGCCATCTGAATGAAGGAGTTCAATGTTTAATGAGCAGTTTCACTTCCCTTTCTATTTTTCTTTTCGATGTTATTTAGGAGGTGAAAAATTAGCTCTCTCCATTCTCTACTTTTATGTTTCTTTTGTTCCTTTTATATCTTTTGTTTATTCTTTTTTTTTTTGTCAAAAGATAATATATATTAATCAATCAATAAAGATAGTTACATCCTGGAAAGCAGCCAGGCCCTGAAATCAAAATAACGGTTCCCAGTTGGGTACAAAGAAAGGGCTTTTCTAGCAACTAAATGTGCTACCCTATTGTTCTCCCGACCTATAAACCGCACAGTAAACCCTGGATAGGCAGCAAAATATTGACAAATCTCGTCCAAGACTGCCCCCAAGCGATTGTCCCGCGAATCGGCCTGATTAATCTTGTCAATAATGACCTTCGCATCACCCTCGAACCGAACACCGGACAAACCCCACTCTAAACACCAAGTGATAGCCTCACGCAACACAAGCAATTCCACCACCATTAGATCATCAATTTGTGCAAATTGCACATCTTTAGCCCGAAGGACCGTCCTACCCGGACCACAAAGAACCATTCCGCCAGCCGAGTGTGAGCCCCTCCTAGTTGCCCCATCCCACATGCAAACCAACCCAGTATCATCCATTTGGTTCCCTGGCCGGACCACCTGGCATGACACGACACCCGTGGCTGCTGGTCAACCCGCAGCCCCATCCACTCCTCAACCTGCTGATGAAATTGGCGCATTAGAGCCGGAAGCCCAAACTGTTTGCCCTCAAAGACAACCCAGTTTCGCAAACGCCAGATCTGCCAAAGGATGGCGACCACCGCCATAAACAGCGATTGATCATGGACCAGGGCAAGCATCCGCTTCAGAAATAGTGGAAAAGTGTGCCGAGGCAAAGCTTCACCTAAATACTCCAACCCCGATAAATCCCAGAGAGCCCGCGCAACCGGGCAGTAAAGAAATAAATGTTCCATAGTATCGGGACCATCCCAACACACCGGACACCGGGGGAGCACAGGAACCTTCTTTTCATTGAGCACCTCTGTGGTTGGCAAGGCTCGATTCAAAATTTGCCAGACAAAGACTTTAAACTTAGGAGGGATCTTAGCTTCCCACAACCGGATCCAGCTTTGTCTATCCATCCAACTCACCGAATCTCGCCACCCACCCCTCCTCCTGTCAAGCTCAACCGCCAGATGGTATGCTGTCTTAACCGAGAACACCCCATCAGCAGTGTTATGCCATATAAGTTTATCATCCACATTCCGCCTCGGAAGTGGGATAGCTTTAATGGTCCGACAGACATAAGGGTCAAACCATTGACTAAGCTTATTTTCATCCCAGCGCCCTTCCCCTTGACAAATAACCTCCGCCACCAGGGGATCCCCCCCATTTGGCAGGACACGAGGGTTATAGCAAGGAGGATCCAGTTGAAGCCCAGGAATCCATTTAGAATGCACCAGGGAGGCCGATAGGCCATTGCCGATCTGCCATCTTAACCCTACTTCCAAAAGCTGGCGCCCAAACAGGATACTCTGCCAACCCCAAGACGGCCTAGACCGGGCAGTAGCAGATAGAAAAGAACCATGAGGAAAGTACTTCCCTTTATACACCTGTGCCAGGAGGGAATGCGGCTCTTGGAGAATACGCCAACCAATCTTTGCTAAGAGGGCCTGATTAAAATGTTCAAACCTACGAAATCCAAGCCCCCCCCCCCCCCTCATGCTTACTCCGACAAAGGTTCCGCCAGGACACCCACCGAATCTTGGGATGTCCCTCCTCAGCTCCCCACCAGAAGCGGGCCACATGTCTATCCAATAAACGACAAAGGGAGAGGGGCAGCCGGAAACAAGACATAACATACAGGGGCAACGCCAAAGCAATTGACTTAATTAAGGTCTCCTTAGCCGCCCAGGATAAAATTTTCTGTTTCCAGCCCTGCAAACGCGCCAGTAACTTCTCCTCCAGATATCGGAATGTCTCCATTTTGGATCGAGCAATCAACGTGGGCAATCCCAAGTACTTATCATGTACTCCTACTGCTCCGACCCCAAGAATCGCAGCCAAAAACTCCTGATCCTCCAAGGCAACATTTTTGCTAAAGCAGACTGCCGACTTTTCCAAATTAACCCTCTGCCCACTCAGCTCCTCATACTCATTTAGCACCACAATTAGATTCTCGCACTCCTGAAGAGAACCTCGCAGGAATAGATAGGAATCATCGGCGAAAAACAGGTGCGAGATCCGAGGAGCACGCGGCGCCACCTTCACCCCCTCCAACTTCTTTTCAGAGATAGCCTTCCGAAGAAGGGCCGCAAACCCCTCCGTGCAAAGCACAAACAGGAGAGGTGACAACGGATCTCCCTGTCTGAGTCCCCGAGTGGACCCGAAAAAGCCCGAAGGCGTACCATTCATCAGAACCGAAAACGTAGCAGAGCTAAGACATTCATGTATCCATCCTTGCCAGACAGAATTGAAGCCCATCTTATCCAAAACAGCCAAAAGGAAAGGCCATTCAACTCTATCATAGGCATTTTCCATGTCAACCTTAAGAGCCATGTACCCCTTCTTCCCCTGCCGTTTTATTTTGAGATAATGCATTAACTCATGCCCAAGAAGGACATTATCAATAATCTGCCTATTCTTTATAAACCCATTCTGCCCCTCAGAAACAAGTTGAGGAAGCAAGCCAGCAAGCCGCTCTGCCATGATTTTGGTTATCACTTTATAAACGAACTGGCAGAGGCTGATCGGACTTAGTTGGCGGACATTTTCCACAGAATCCACTATAGGGATCAACGTAAGCCACGTATGATTGAAGCTCCGTAACATTCGACAAGTCGAAAAGAAAGAGCAAACCGCCTCAATCACCGAGACCCCCACCACATCCCAAAAAGCTTTGAAGAATTTTCCGGTAAAGCCATCCGATCCCGGAGCCTGCTTCGATCCCATGGAAAAGACAGTTTTCCGAACCTCCTCTGGTAAAACCGCCGCCGTTAAAATCTCATTCATTTGCGGTGTAACCATATGAGGAATGGGGAGGTTTGCCACCCTATCCGCCATATTTAGCACCTGGGACTTCGAAGTGAACAGAGTTTGGTAAAAGCTGGTAGCAATCCTAGCCTTGCCACTCTCATCCGTAACCCACTCACCCTCCTCATCCCGCAGACCAGCGACAAAATTTCTTTTTCGACGCGTACGCGTAACCGTGTGGAAATACGCTGAATTTTGGTCCCCTTTCTTTAGCCAACGGACCCTGGATTTTTGCTGCCAGTATAGCTCCTCTGCATCCCATTGACGAGATAGTTCCATTTCCAGGGATCGAACCGCATCCCAATCCACCGGAAGTATGGACTTGACGCGGTCAATCTCAGCCTGGAGAGTCTTAATATTTCGCAAGGAGTTAGTGGTGCCCGCCCTACTCCAATCGTATAACAGGTGACGAAGTTTCTTAAGGCGCTCCCAAAGTCGAAACATGGGGGTACCTTGCAATTCCTCCTGCCAGATATAACGGACCATTGTTTATTCAGAATCTTAATAAATAAGAATGCTAGCTTTGCCATCAATTTATATTTCAATTTGAAAGGTAAACCGTTGCAATTCTTTAATTGGTCGCTTATATGTTAGTTCATTGAGTACAATGCCTTGATTAAAGTGTGGGATGGAAGTGAATTTTTATGACCCTCTCTAATATGCTTTATACACGCTATGTGTTTGGTAGTTTATTTTCGAAAATATATCGAATGCATGAACTACATACACCAACGCCTTTGAAATGACCTTATTCAAGCTACCAATTAGGTTAATAGGTACGAAATCATTGCTATCCGACATTGAGTAAGAGAAGTAAAAATCATCCACTACTTTGAGCAGGACCTTTTTTGTTACATGCCATTGAGGCCAATATTTCTTATAGAATGCCAACGTAAAACCGTCAGGGCCCGGTGCACGAGCCCCGTCGCAATCTCTTATTGCTGCCCACACCTTGAATCTTATGGTTTCAAATTGCATACATATCTAAGGTGCTCTATCTTAGGTCACCAAAATGCCTTACGGCCAAGAGGAAGGATCTAAAAACTAAGCATGTAGCCATGTACAAAGGGACATTTACGTTCACTAAAATGTCAGACAAAATGACACTACACAAAGTTATTACCAGCTAGTCTTCAATGGTCAGGGAGCCTCCTCTTAACAAACTGCCAGCTTCTTCTACTTCTATCTGCGTACTTGAGTAATTGGTATATCCATCCTCGTCCGCTGACATGGTATGAGTCATACTTGGATTCTGCCAGAAGTGATTCCTTATGGCCTTGTACTTCGATCTGTTGGCGGAATAACCAGGGTCCGAGAGCAGGTCTTGGATTGCTGTTCTGCCTTCCAGCATGCTCACCACTTGAGACATCGTTGGCCTGAGAGTTGGGGAGGCGTTGGTGCATAAGAGAGCCACATTCAACATCAGCATTGCCTCCTCTGACGAGTAATCTAAACCCAACAAGGGATCAACCAGTTCCAACAGGCTTCCCCTCTCTTGTAATACATACGCCTGCAAGTAAGTTGCACACACAGATATTTCGTGATGACGTTGTAAATTAACTTAAGGCTCGTTTGAAATCTGCGATTTAGAATGTGTATTTTGATGATGCAGGCATTTCAAATAACTGGATTGTAAGAGAATTCACAGATAAGAAAGATGAAGTAGTGAGTCATAGATATCAATTTCAAAGATCAGTTTTTCCAGTAAAATCGAAATAATGATAACGATAAAGACAATTTGCAAAATCAAAATCCAAAGCTTGTGTGTTCTCCATTACTTGTGTTATTGAAATCTACATCATTTGATTGAAATACACCATCTTGTTTGTAATGCATGCAATTTCAGAATATAGCACAACGTGATTTCAAGTTTCAAAACAACCCCTCAGAGACAAACTGCATACATTAAGGTGATGGAGAATGGAGGGGGGAAACACATTACCCAGTCAAGAAGGTAAACATATTCTTCTTTAGGTCTGTAATTTGTGTTGCTCTTTCCACTGACAATTTCCAATGCAACTACTCCAAAGCTATACACGTCTGCCTTGCTGGTCAAGCACCCACGCATAGCATATTCAGGAGCCATATAGCCTCTACACAAAATCCAAAAAAAAAAAAACGGCTCGGTTAAAGAATTAACTTAGTTGAATGAATTACTCCAGACTAGCATCATGTGAAGAGGCTCTAGAAACAGAGAAGACTCCTCACTCACATGGTTCCAGCAACTCTAGTGCTAATGTGGGTATCCTCATCTTCATGTAGCTTTGCCAATCCGAAATCGGAGATTTTGGCACTCATATCCTTATCAAGCAACACATTGCTCGTCTTGATGTCCCTATGCACAATTCTGATTCTTGATTCCCCGTGAAGGTAGGCCAGACCTCTGGCCACCCCCAAGCAAACTTTCTGCCTCGTAGGCCAGTCTAGCTTCAACCTGCACGCTGGATCCTTTCCTGTCAACGAGAAATCAATGTATATATATAGTTGGTGAGTTTGAATTCCGATTAGTAGAGCGGGAGAGCCATAAATAGGGGATGGAGAAGTAAGGGAACGTACCAAACAGTGCGCGGGATAGACAGTTGTTCTCCATGTACTCGTATATGAGAATCAATTGGTTTCCCTCTACACAGCATCCATACAGCTTTACTAGATTGGGATGTTGCAGTGCAGATATCATGCCTACCTCGGTTACGAATTCACGGTTTCCTTGCTTCGATTTCGAGGACAGCTGCTTCACTGCAATAATTGTTCCATCTGCTAACTCTCCCTACGCACAAACAGTGATTTCAGCTCACTCACGTGAAGAACTAAACTTGGTTGCTGGAGGTTATATATGGAGTTAAATGAAGAGATGAAATGCAGCATCCACCTTATAAACACAACCAAAACCACCTTCCCCAAGTTTATTTACAGCATCAAAATTATTGGTAGCTGTTTTTATCTGCCTTAGTGTGAATAGCCCTGTTTGCAGGTCTAGCAGTCCTCGTAGCTCTGCGGAAGCACAAAAGAAGTGAGAATATAACCAATCTTCCACCTATCGGTTTCTTTGCCGCTTATAAAACAAGATGCATACACTTCTGTTCCCTTACCTTTGTCTTCAGCTGGTTGGCCTCCCAACAATCCATTTCTCCTGAGTATACCCAGGAGAAGAAGCACTATTAAAAATGCTCCGGCAGCAGCTCCAGCAATGATGATGACATGCTGCCTTCTGCTGCTATCAGGAGAAGGTGGGACGAAGTCTACAGAAAGAGACATAGAAATCATTCAAATGAAAAAATTTGTAGGGAGAAGCAGAAGTTGAAACCTAATCATTGGCATTCTTCAATCACTCATTCAACATCACATACTATGCATTATCAAAAATCCTAAGTAGCCACCAGTATCCCAACCACAGGCTTTCATAGAACCAAAACGTTGTGCAGGAGTACTAACTTGGATCGACTGATATAGCAGATATGAGAGGACCGTAAATTCCTCTTGAGGGTATCCCTGTTGTCCCTCTTCCAGCCCAATAAAAGTGGACCTTTAGTGTATTGCTTGTTACAGAAACTGTGAATGTCTTTATTATTGGCCTAGCAGGGCCACCAGCTTCAGCTTCAATGTTGAAATCCTTCAGCACCAACTTGTCCTGAATAGTCCAGAAGATAATCAGAAGAGTGACTAGCAAGTGCTACTTCACTTTAAGTCCCAGTTAACGAAAGCTAACTTTCAAGGGACTCACCTGTACATAGACATCAAACATTCGCTTTCCGACACTAAAGAATGAACTATCGTTTGTGAAAACAATCTCTGCAAAGTGAAGTTTCACGGTGTAGTTCCCATTTCCAAGGCAAAGTCCATAGTAAGTGAGAGCGATAGGAGAGCCGCGTGCTGTTGTATAGAGTTGGGAGTTGGGAGCAGATTCTGTGGATATAATAGCAGAGTTGTTGTATTGAATATAGGTGTCTGCATCGACATCATTGTCCACAAAGTGCCCAGTGCTGCTCATTGCCCAGTTCTGACTGGAGTAGTACATGGAAGCACCTCTAGGTTCTCTATCAGCTTCATAGAAGGTGTTATTCAGGCCCGTTTCCTTACCACCGCAGTTAATATGTAGCGAGTAACGGTCTGTCACAGAAACAAGAAAGATCCCAGTTAACATAACTATGCATTTGACGGTCTTATTTGCATTTGCTTCTGGAAAGCAAGGAGCTAGGAACTGGTAGGTTTTTTTGGGGTTGACTTGTTACCTTAAACATTAATGATGGCCAAAATAAGTACTCACATTGTTTTTTGGACATACAACATGGAAACTTCTGTCTCAAGCAAGGATGAATTCTGCTCCTGCAACATAGGGAAATGAAAATATCCTCAGTTGGACAGGCAAAATTATGTTGACATTCGTACTTTAGTAGAAAAGGTGTAAAAGGTTTGAGGAGGAGACGAACAACTTACAGTTTAGTTGTTGAGGAGGAATAACTCTCCACTAAATTTCTGCAAAGAAAAGTGTAATGGAATCAATTTTTCTGCCACAAAGCAAGAATGTAACAACTAACAATGAAGCGAGTATGTAACCCACACGCTTCCTCTTGGACATTCCGTTGGACTTGAGCTTCCCCAGGTGAAATTATTGTACGAAATATCCCTGCAGGTGAAAGTGTGACCCCCCATAAGTTGGTGTAGGATTGCAGCTTTTATGAGGCTAACAGGAATTTCCATTAGAAAGCTTAAATCCTAAGCAAAGAAACATACACAATCTTATTTCTCTCCAAGATCCATTGTGGTATAGATCCTCTGAGTTTGTTTCTGGTCAAGTAGCTGCAACAAAAAAAACATTAATGTTATGAGGCTAACTGTCCCAAACTGTTGGATTTGTCTAGATACAATGATATCGAAAACCAACATTAACTTACATGATATCTGCTTTGGCAAGCCGACCAAAAGATTCTGGAAGTTCTCCAGTCAGATTGTTGAAGCTGAGATCACTAAAAAATTGGAAAACCCCACATATAGCTAGCAGAGTTACATAGGAGCACAGTAAAGAAGGAACCATCCTGTCTAAGATGACCAAATTTATACCAAAGCAAGAAAACATATATGAGCTTAAGCACTTCATAAGAGCATTTTCAGTGAAATTTCTTACAGAGTTTTCAGTTTTTTCATGTAGCTCAGGTACTCAGGGATGTCTCCTGACAGCAAACAGCTCCGTAGAACCCTGCACGTGAAAAACGCTGCCATGAACATTTAAAGTACACTAAAAGAACATTCATAAAAACATTAAGATAAATACATAGGAAGAGCCTGACTTACAGCGTCTTCAGAGCTTCCATATCCTGGAGTGGCGGGAAGGATGAATCCCTACCTTTTAAGTCTGTGATCCGCCTGAAAATCATGTGGAATGAAGATACTTGTTCAGTATAGTTTCATTGCATACAGTTAAGACAGAATCAACTAAGAGAATTCATACAGATCAGTTAAGCTTGTCAATGATGAAATGGTAGAAGGTATAGGGCCCTCCAGAGAGCAACCTTGTATTTGTCTGAAGACAAAACAAAAAAAGAGTCATGACCACAAGACACAAATGGACAACCAGTAGAGAAAGGAGTTACATATCGAACTCACAATTTTTCAAGCTTTATCAATTTGTTGATGAAGTTCGGAATCCTACCGGAAAAGTTATTATCACTTATCCTCCTGTAAACAGTGAAAGGAACGGGGAAAACATATGTCAAATCAAAAGGGGTAGATAATCAAACGCACAATATTTGAGAAGCGTCCAATATGTTGTACTTACAGATCAGTCAAGTTAACCAACTTGGTAAGTTGAACAGGTAACTTTCCAGTGAATGCATTTGAATTTATATGACTGTAGACATACAAAAACAACAGGCCAGTTATTTGTTCATGCCACATGATCAAGATTTCATAATAACTCATGAGATAGAAGCATGGAAATTACAGTCTCTCCATGTTTATCATTTTCCCAATTTCTGGGGGAATTGGTCCTGAAAATTGGTTAGCTTCAATGCTCCTGCAACCAAAGTAAACACATACCATTGTCAGTCAACTCCCAGACAAATACAATCTGAAGAATGAGCTATGAAGAGAAAGGCAAAGTGTTGCCAACACTGCCAAGCTTCTGTTAATCGTTAAGTAACTAACAGCTAATCAACTTCCAGTCACGGGTGAAGTGCGGAAGAATTTTGCTAGACTTGAGTCTGCTCCACTACACAGTACCGGCAAGTCACCTACTATATAATTGCTTTCAGATCTCAGTTGCCTTAAGAAGATTGGAAACCAGGACATTAAGGATGAAAATCTAGTTGACATAGATATCTAAAATCAGTGTTCTGAAATTTGTTGTGGCCAAACTGGGAAGAGAACAGGTACAGAATAGAATCCAACCACGCCTCTAAAATCCAAGATACAACCAGGACAACAGTAAATATAAAAGAAAATTTTGAATCCAGTTACATACAGGTTTCTGAGAGTGGTAATGTTGGCAAGAACTTTTGGAAATGGACCGGATAGCCGGTTGCCCATAACATAGCTGCACAAGATGGATCAAATGCCAGAAATGAAAGCCAATAAATAGCTAGTTTTTCATTATCAAAACATCAATGCTGAAAAAAGATGTGGAAGTCGGTTGATATGTGTAATAGCCTTACAGCTCTACCAAAGGCAAGGTAGCCCATTGGGGAGGTACGGTACCAGACAGTATATTTTTACTGAGCTCCCTGATTAACCCAGCACAAATTCATTAGTAGAAGAAACGACGAACCAAAATAGAACTTGAGCTTCAAACTAAAACCAAACAGCAAAGATCTCCCTAACAAATTTAAGCTCACAGTGATTTAAGGAAGCGAAGCCTCGAGAATTCCGGTGGGAGAGTTCCAGACAAGTTTTGAGACTTCAAACTTCTGCAACAAGCCGTTCGTCCTTTTATTATAAAAAAGCATTAAGAATGGAAATATGAATATGTATCATACAAAGAAGAGAACTTTACATTGAGGTGACATGGCAAGTGGAACTGGAGGTAGTGGAGTTGATGAGATTGATAGTACCATGAACTGCAACAGCACTGGCACTGGCACTAATTGGGCAGTCACAAATCACATAGCTCTCAAACCCTTTCCTGCTATCAGTAACAACCCAATTCCCTTCTCCACTGCAAGGATCTTTCCCGAAATCCCAGCCTTTCTTCCCCAACTTCTTACCTATATCTCTTAATGCCTTCACTGCGGATATTTATGAACAGTAAAACCCAGAGAAGCAAGTGAATTTATGCTTACAGAAGTGTTCCTAGACAAAGTCAAAGCAATCAGCTTTACCTTCAGAAGGGTGAAGCTTATAATTGGAGGTAGTTGCTGCGAACCCAGAAATCCAAACAAATGAAATGGAGCAGATGATGATTGGGACCAACAGAACATTTGACAAATCAGCTCTCATTTCTATCTATTTGCTTCTCTCTTTCTTTCTATTTGGGTTAGTATCCTTTCTTTTGTTTCTTAGCAAAAGCTAGCATCCTAGACCTCTCCTTTATTTCATCGGCTTCCTCCTTTGGAGTGGAGCTGTAGAATGTGAAATGGAATGCTAGTCTGACTGGCTGACTATGAAGCAGGGAGTGGAGCTAGCACAGTACGGACTGGAAATGGGCCAATTAGAGAACTCTTGAATTTACTAACATTTTTCAGGGGACTTTTTCTTTTCTTTTCGGCAATTTCAGTCTTCACTCGTCTTTAGGCAAGTTGCTTCAGTTGTTTCTTTCAGTATTAATTGTTTATTTTGAATAACCACCACCGCCAGCTTGACCAGAGTTTAATATTTAGTTCTCCTGACAGCAAAGCAAGTCCATGTTCTCTATATAGCGGGTGGAAGTGGAAATCGGTACGATATCGGTATTTCAATATCAAATATCAAAATCCCGAATATCGAATTACACCATAAAATCAATCACAATCTCAATCCCTAAATAATTTATGTATCTCAATCCCAATCCTAAATATTTCGGTATCTCAATCGGTACTTCGGTATCCAAATCGGTATTATCGAATATGAAATTAATTATTTTTCTAATTAATAATTAAATATATAATTTAGATTTGATTGCTTAATTTAGGGCAAAGAGATTAAGCAAGGAGTCTTGAGTTTCCCTAGAGTTAGGATATATGGATAGGAGAATGGAGGAGAGGTGACATCTCAAGTTCTTGTCATTGTTAATCTTTAATTTGACGAATTGGAGGCTGAGAGACCACTAATACTAGTTTTTGCTTTTTGGTGTTATGAAAATAACAAGAGATTAGGTGAGAGAAGAGAGTGACTTAAATTGAAAAGTCAAAATTGAGTTGGATGGGGACTTCTAAGTTGTGAAACAATGATTGAATGATTTATGTATAATTAAATGACACTCTTGGTGGTTGAGGGTCGTGTGGTAGTGAATGAGAGAGTCTAGTTGAGAGTAGAGGTGTCAATCGGGCGGGTTCGGGCGGGTTTGGGCTAGGTTCATTCGGGTTGCGGTTCAATCGGGTTGCGGGTTCATCGAGTTCGGGTTACTCGGTTTACGGGTCACTCGGGTTACAGGTCAATTGGGTTATGGGTCAATCGGGTTGCGGGCCAATCGGGTTACGGGTCAATCGTGTGCGGGTTAATCGGGTTGCGGGTCGGGCGGTTTGGGTTGCGGGTTTTACGGACCAGAACATCGCGTTAGTTTTTAGTGATTACTAGTAAGTCGTAAATCGTAACTATATGAAGCTAGCATAATACTTGTCAAAAAAAAGGAATCACTACTCAAAGTTATAAGATTAGTGTCAATAAAACAAATATCAACACAATTGAAAATAATCTTTCTTGTAGCATGAATACCAGCCAAATTGAAATCATCTAGAATTATCCAAATCATCATGCTGATACAAGATTTCTAAACTAGCTTAAATACCAATAAACTCTCAAATCTTCAAGACCAATCAAATCATCATGTTGAGTTGAGGATAGGTACAGGGAAGGGAGAAAGAGCGAGTGTGTGTTTGGAATTTGGAGGCTTGCGGGCCAAAAAAATTTAGATCTAAGGTTTTTCTTTTTTTGCGCTTTGTGGCCAAAATTTTGGTGTTATGAAAATAACAAGATATTAGGTGAGAGAATAGAGTGACTTAAATTGAAAAGTCAAAATTGAGTTGGATGGGGACTTCTAAATTGTGAAACAATGATTGAATGATTTATGTATAATTAAATGACACTCTTGGTGGTTGAGGGTCGTGTGGTAGTGAATGAGAGAATCTAGTTGAGAGTAGAGGTGTCAATCGGGCGGGTTCGGGAGGGTTTGGGCTGGGTTCATTCGGGTTGCGGTTCAATCGGGTTGCGGGTTCATCGAGTTCGGGTTACTCGGGTTACGGATCAATTGGGTTGCGGGCCAATCGGGTTACGGGTCAATCGGGTGCGGGTTAATCGGGTTGCGGGTCGGGCGGTTTGGGTTGCGGGTTTTACGGACCAGAACATCGCGTTAGTTTTTAGTGATTACTAGTAAGTCGTAAATCGTAACTATATGAAGCTAGCACAATACTTGTCAAAAAAAAGGAATCACTACTCAAAGTTATAAGATTAGTGTCAATAAAACAAATATCAACACAATTGAAAATAATCTTTCTAGTAGCATGAACATCAGCCAAATTGAAATCATCTAGAATTATCCAAATCATCATGCTGATACAAGATTTCTAAACTAGCTTAAATACCAATAAACTCTCAAATCTTCAAGACCAATCAAATCATCATGCTGAGTTGAGGATAGGTACAGGGAAGGGAGAAAGAGAGAGAGAAAGAGCGAGTGTGTGTTTGGAATTTGGAGGCTTGCGGGCCAAAAAATTTTAGAGCTAAGGTTTTTCTTTTTTTGCGCTTTGTGGCCAAATTTTTTGAAAAGAGGCATCTACTTTGCCGCTGGAGCAAATAAAAATTTGGAGCCAATTCTACCAAAAATGAAAATTTTGGAGCCAAATACCAAAGAATATTTGGAACCAAAGTCTCTTTTGCGCTTGGCGGCCCAAATTTTAGAAAAGAGGCAGTTACGTTGTCGCTGGAGCAAATGAAAATTTGAAGCCAATTCTACCAAAAATGAAAATTTTAGAACCAAAATACATCTTAAGCAAAAAGAATTTATCCCTCATAAAATTGAAAGAAATAATTTATAAAGAAATTCTTAAAAGTTCACACGAATTACCGTGACTAAGTATTAATCACGGGAAATGAAGACTACAAAACTGATAAATAATTCCCCGTGATTAGAAACATACAACTAAATACATGAATTTTTCCGGTGGTTATTAATGTATTTTCTAATACGGGAAAAATTACCATGAATAAGATACCGTGTTTAGAAACATGTTTTCCTGTAGTGCAATATGAAGTATTATGAGTCGTGTATTCTTGTTATGATCAGACTTTTGTGAAATATTATTAGTCTTTTTTATGACAGGACCATGATATTTGGATTTTAAATCTTATAATTATCTTATTATGCTAAATTAATATTTTATAATGTTATGTGCACTATTAGGTTGATGATGTATCTAAATAAATATTTGATGATATTATATGCGTTAATAAGTTGATGATGTATATTATTATACTAAGTCAATAATTGATGGTGTAATGATCAAACTTTAGTGAACTAGAATTTCAAATGTCAACTTTTGGTTTATCTTCATCGAATTCCTTCGATTATAGTCGGGCTGCGGGTTGGTCAGGTTACGGGTTCGGGTTAGTCGAGTTGCGGGTTGGTCGGGTTGCAGGTTAATCTGGTTGCGGGTCGGTCAGGTTGCGGGTCGATCGGGTTGTGGGTTGGTCGGATTGCGGGTTGGTCAGGTTGCGGGTCGGGCGGGTTACGGGTCATTGACTTTTAGTCAAATCGGGTTGCGGGTCGAGTTGATCGGGGGGGTTACCCGGGTCGGGTTACATTTTGACAGCTCTAGTTGAGAGGACAAAATACACACTAGGTTATATTTTGGTATTGATCGATATTTCGGTATATACCGATCTCAATCCCGTAATACCGAATAACAATTGAAATTCAATCTCAATCCCAAGAAATAATACGTGTATTCGGTAATACTAAATATAGACAAATTCGGTATGGTATTCGATATATCCCAAATATCGGTACCAAAATTCCAGCCCTATATAGGTGTGGCCATGCCAGTGAAACTTGTTTGGGGAATCTATATAGCAATGTTGTCAGAAGCGAACCGGAGTACGACCCGATAATGTGAATGGCTCGGTCTTTAGCGGTCCAACCGACATTAGACCGTTTAAAAACCGTTAGAGAACTGGTACATAATAAACAATCAGTCTGAATAGTTGACACTTCTTAATCATGGTAAACCATGACTAAATTAGTAAATTACACTCTTAACAATTCTAGAACATGAGTACCAAAAGTTCTAAATCCAATTCCAAACCACCACATTGTTCCAAAATAAAAGCAATGTCACACGAGTCTGAACATGAAACAAGAGTCTCAAACATGGAAACCACTGAAAGTCTCAAACTCAAACAAGTGAACAACTATCAAATACAACTTCAACATCATCTCATTCACGACCACTAGCATCAGATGAATCACTACTTGAGGACACCATGCCAATTATTGTGCTACCATCATCTCCATCATCGTCTGATAACAAAACAAAAAAATATGTTAGAAATCATGAGTTAAAAATGTATCACAGTTGACATTTTATCATTTACTAATATGTCAATCCAACCTTCATTGCGACCTCTTTTTCTACTTGTAGCTTCACTTCCTCTAGGAATGTCATTAGCATCATTCTCAGCAATAACTTGCATCAATTCATAAAAGCTAAGATTTGGAGTTGGATCATCTTCCTCATCCATAACCCAAAATTCTATGGCATTAATCCATTCATAGCTAAAAGGATCAACAAGAGCTTGCTTTTTCTAGCACGAGACCTATGAATGATTAAATACAAGTCACATGTCACTATTACCTGGCATAAATATTTTGTACACAAGTCTAAAATCAAACAGATTTGATATTCATCACGTACCTCTTTCCTAGTTTCATGTTGTAGTTCACATGGACTAGATTGCATAGTCTTTCATGCTCTAAATTGTTCCTCTTCTTATTGTGGATCCTCTCAAACACACACTCCAATTTCTTTCACTTCCAGAAGAGGCAGAAGTTTGGCTCAGAACTCGAAGTGCAAGGTTCTTCAACAATGGTGCACTATCACCAAAGGTATTCCACCAATCATCTTCAAAGAAAAATGATTAATTAGAACAAACACAATTATATAGACCAACTTTTGCATTACGAATCATGATACTTCATATTACCTGGATCAAGTGACAATCTACCTCTAACAGCCAAATCCTTATCAAAGGTCCCCTTTGCTTCCTCATACAGTTTCAGTTCCTTACATGCTTTCAAACCATCACTACAAAGTTGAGGCTTTTCAAGCAATTTTATTATAGCCTCCTTCACCTCAACGTCCCCAACATATTCTTTCTCATAATATTTGAGAGGAGGACTAAAGAAAAAAGTTGCCTTGTAAGGTTTGTACAAAGTCCCCTTTTGTTGATGATGTCAATGTAAGGTTTGTACAAAGTCTCTTTACCTAGAAAGATCTCTTTGATTCCCTTAACTGTTCTTCTCATTCCCTCATAAACATAAGCAAGAGTGAGCTTCTCATATGAATCCACAAGCTTCAGCAACTTCATGATTGGTTGAGCCACATTTACCATCTCCAAACAATCACCCCAAATCTGAGCATCTAACAATATAACACTCACCGCCTTCCTTTTGCAATCTTAGATAATTCATCTGCATTGAAGAACTCACTCACTGGTAAAGCTTGTAAATCAAGCTTGTGCTCATACACACTCTTCATGGAGAGGAAATTAGTAGCAAAGCAAGTTGCACCAGGCCTCACTATTTGCTTCCAATTTGTCCTTTCTTTCAACCAATTAATCACAAGAGTATGGTTATAAACAAACATAGTGATTCTTCTAGCCTTTTGAATGACAACCTTCACATTCTCCAAATCTCCAAAATCACTCAATATCAAATTCATGCAATGAGTTGCACATGGAGACCAATAAATATGTGGTAAGTCTTATGAATAATCTTATCATATGACTTGTAAATTGTTGCATTATCAATTATCACATGAACCACATTGTTCACACCAATTCACTGAATTGCTTCATCAAATATTTTGAAAAGGTTCTTTGCATTCTTCACAACTTTTGATGCATCAATGGATTTAAGAAAGTAAAGACCTTTAGTGCAATAGACCACTAAATTTACCAAACTTCTACCCTGTTGATCAGTCCAACCATCAGCCATTAAAGTACACCCACATTGTCCCCAAACGGCTCATTATTGATCAACAACTAGTTGAGTTTCTCTTTTCCAATCAACTAGTAAAGACACCCTTAAATCATGATATGATGGTACCTTAAATCCTGGACCAATAGCCATTGTAGCATGAAACATCCTCTGAAAACTATCTGAGTTAGCAACATTACAAGATAAGCAATTCTCATAGAAGAATTCTGCAACTACCATATGTGCTCTATGAATTGCATCCTGAGTAGCCATTGCATTTTTTATGCCTGGTTGAGACCATGAGTGGTTATTGGAGGAAAAAAATCAGCTCCCTTAGCTTTCTTCATCAGGTCACTAACATCTTCAATTGTCGGTGTTCCAACTAACTCAACCACATCATCCTCTTTTCCATCAATGCTAGGATCATTAGATTTCTTATTCCCTTCATTCTTTCATCATATTCTTTAAGAATATTGGCAAATCTCACACGTACATCATATGGAACTTTTGAGCATTTTACAATATTACCTTTTGAAGAATGAGCAAGATTCTCTTTCATCCGATGAATCCCTCGTCCTTTTTTGAGAATTCCACACTTCATGCATTTAAGTGTCTTTACGTTCACATTACCATCTTTGATTTCGTGAACGTAATTCCAAGTTGGATCGATCTTTGCCCGACCAGCTTGCATTGTGGAAGTAGTAGATCTCGGTGTTGTTGATTGGGTATCACCACTATCTGGATTTGGATTACTCATCACCAAAAGAAACACCGAATCAGGCTAATGAACTGGGTTGATTATCTACCAAATCAAACATTAAAATCAAACAACAATTGAATCAGTGGCCTCCCATTCCGGTTGAAATTAAAATAATCAAATAAGTTCAACTTCACAATTAATCGATTAACTCACCTCACGTCGAGCAGGGTAGTGACTGGTGGGAGATGCTGCGAAGGTGAGACTGCCGGTGGGAGATGCTGCGGAGGAGATACGGCTGGTGGGAGATGTTGCGGAGGTGAGACGGCTGGAGCAGGAGTAGGGGAGATGCGCTGGATTTGGGAGCGGCTACGGGGAGATGGGCTGGAGCAGGTGAGACGGGCGATGACGATGGAGAGCATGGAGCTACTACGGGGAGGGGGGATGGGGACGACGCCGAAGCCGGGACGGGAAGTGTCGACGATGGCAGGGCTTGGCACCGCTAGTCTCTTTGTATTCGCAAAGAAGACGAAGGAGGTGAAGTGAGAATTAGGTCTCTAGGATTTTTTTTTCCAGCCCTTGACGATTTTCCCTTTCATTTTCTGATTTTTTCAGTTTTTTATTTTATTTTTATTAATCAGAACTGTCGGAAGGGGAGAAACCGAGTGACCGGCTCGAGCGGTTAACCGCCTTGGCCGCTCGACGACCGCTCCAAAAAGTCAGAACGATTAAATGACTGATCCGAGCTGGTTTTACGGCCTGGTGGTGGCTTTAGCGGTCTGGCCGAATGGCTCGGCTCGGTCTTAATAACATTGTTATATAGGATTTATAGGCATACAAAGAGTCTCTCTACTGACTTCTATGTTTCCATCAAGCAAAGTCCATTTAGACGTGTGTAGTGTGATTAGATAACGATTAGGCTTTGTCACCTGGAGGGTTATTTAACAGAAATTTTAACAGAGGAGCTTAATTTATCTTCCTCGATATCAACTTTTGTATCTTTCTCAATTTGGCTAGATCATTTCTCCTCATCCTTTAACACATCCCAAGCATGCATAAAATTGAAATTATTACCTTCTAATGCATGGTATAGTGCCTTCGCGTTGTTCTTTTTGTTACCTCGTTTATCCCGCTTTCCCTTCGGTGTTGAACTTGTGCATAATAACCGACGAACTTTGACGTTGAATGGTTTAATCTAGTCCAACGATTCATCAGACTTTGCTTATTCTTCGTCCTTGGAAGGTCATACGATAGGTGTCATAGTATTCCCGAATGTGATTCCAAAAGTTGTTGTTCTTTTGATTTATGCCAATTTCTCCATCTCTGCTGATGTTAAGCCACGCACTACATATCAAAGTGTCATCTTCAGTAGTCCAACAAACTCTTTCTTTCTTGCTTTCTTTGTGTCGATCTTGTTGGGGTGTTCCTTAACTGCAATATGCTGGATATTGAGGAGTCTGAAACTCAGTAGGAATGGTTTGAGGAATTGGAGCCTCATTTGATGACTGTTGAGAGGAATTATTTGAAATTGGCATTTTTGGGTAATTTTATTGGAAATATGGATGGCTGGAATTTGGATACATGGGCATATGAAAATTTCATTGACTTGAAAAATAAGGAGAATTCATATAAGGGATAAGAAAAGGGTTAATAGGAGATTGTGGCTCTTGACTCTCATTACTTGGAACATTAGACGAACCTTGTGAGAAGGGAAAAAGTGGATTGTAGGATGGATGTGATGGATCCATTTCTTCCCAAACAATGAAAAGTTTGAAAGAAGAGGAGAAGAAAGGAGACGACTAGTAATGTGTAATAGGTTGAGAACATGACCTATTTGTTCATGACTCCACACTATATATGGGTTAATTGCATGGTTGGTCACTAACATTACAAAAAGCGTTCATGTTTGATCACTGGAAAAATTTAAATCCATTTTTGGTCACTAACTTTACAAAAACCGTTCATTTATGGTCACTCTCTGTTAGCTGCCGTCCAACGCCGTTAACGGCGTCCGTTAAGTGATGACGTGGCTGACGGATTCGCCTAATCAGCACCTTTTAACCCGAAAATTGACTGACCCGACCCGCCACGTCATTTAAACCCTCCATGTCAGCCAAACCTAACCAAACCTCTACCCAAACCCGACCCGCTAACTAAAACCAGACCAGACCCCCAAAATTGTTTGACTAAAACCCTAATCAAAGACTGCCTCCATCCCGCGCATCCTCCATCTCGTCGACAACGCCACCGCCGCCGCCGCGATCTTCCTCCAGCACTGCGGCTGGTCCTTCGCCGAGGGCCGATTCAACCCCGGGGACGCCGCCGTCATGCGCCACTACGCCTACGCCGCCGTCATGCTCCAGTACGCAACCACTTCACCGCCCCCATTAAAAATGCAGGAGATGACTGTAATGAAGAAAAGCATTCAGACTCACCAGGTGATTGACAATATGAGAACCCGACGTATTCCCTCTCGAATTACAAAACCACTTCCTACAGGACGGTACATTACACCTCACCACACACGCAGGGTTGGAAACGCCGTAGTATCGGCAGGCGTGCTCTGTGAAATCCCCTTTCCCGAACTCGTACCCGTCTTCGTCACCAGTCTCCTCGAAATTCAGCCCTCCAATTCCAGCCACCACGCCGTCCACTCCGTGGCCGCCGCGCGCAGCTGCCTTTGCAACCGACGACGACGCCACGGAGGATGCAGCTTGGGAATCGGAATGGTGGTGATCAGACGACGACGATGTTGCCGTCGGTGCGCCACGGTGGTCGACTACGACGGGGTCGTGCACCACGGATGAGGAGGAAGCCGCGGCGGCGAGGGAGTCGGAAGGAGTGGGCCAGGCGACCGGAGAGCGGAATTCGGGGTAGTCGAACTCGGATTCGCCCTGGGTGTTGAATTCCATGAACGTGTAGGCGTCGGTGCCGGTGTCCGGCTGCGAAGCCGTCTCGTAGAGGTTGCTCTGCTGGGAATCCATGGAAGCCAATTTGTTAGGGTTTTGCGGGAGATTGGAGAAGGAGAAATGGCAGGGCCGGGTGGGAATGTGAGCGGGTTAGGGTTTGGGCGAGCGAGACTGATGCAATTCCGTCTCCGCGGTGGTAAGGGAAGGGTTAACGGGGAAAGGGAGATCGACCTCGATGACGTGGCCTCCGGCTCTGGTGATGTACGCCTCCACCGATTTCTTCACGGCGCTGTCCCCGGGGTTGAATCGGCTCTCGGCGAAGGACCAGGCGCAGTGCTGGAGGAAGATCGCGGCGGCGGTGGTGGCGTTGTCGACGAGATGGAGGCTGCGCGGGATGGAGGCAGTCTTTGATTAGGGTTTTAGTCAAACAATTTTGGGGGTCTGGTCTGGTTTGGTTTTAGTTAGCGGGTCGGGTTTGGGTAGAGGTTTGGTTAGGTTTGGCTGACATGGAGGGTTTAAATGACGTGGCGGGTCGGGTCAGTCAATTTTCGGGTTAAAAGGTGCTGATTAGGCGAATCCGTCAGCCACGTCATCACTTAACGGACGCCGTTAACGGCATTGGACGGCAGCTAACGAAGAGTGACCATAAATGAACGGTTTTTGTAAAGTTAGTGACCAAAAATGGATTTAAATTTTTCCAGTGACCAAACATGAACGCTTTTTGTAATGTTAGTGACCAACCATGCAATTAACCCCACTATATATAGATAAATAAAATAAATTTATAAAGAACAATGCTATCACTTCCCTACTAGCTCACTCACCAATATAATTGAGTAGTCCATTGGGTTGAGTAGTGATTGTCACTTCCCTGTCAGCAAAATAATTGATCATTTGAACCATTGGTTTGAGTAGTGATTTGAAACTTCCCTACTAGCAAAATAATTTGATATTTTTTACCACTCAATTTCAGAGAATTGTCACTTTATTATCAAAATACTCTCCAAATTTATTGAACACCCTTGACCGTTGAATAGGCTAGTAATGTGTATTATTGTCATTCTTGGTGGCTTTGCAGGAGTAGGCATAAAAGACCTGTCTTTTTCTTTATCATTTTATCTCCATTATGTAGCATGCTAGTAACTTTGTCAGAAGCAGTGTATAGAGACACCCGTTTTATCACTTTAAAATAATGATAAAAGTAAGAAATAATAAAGTTGCATTTTTCATCAATAAATTGTACCCATATATTCGACATTGTGATATGATCCCAAGAAGGATCACCTTCAGAGTACCAAACGCCGCCAACAAGGATTTCCTTGTATACGAAGCACAATTTGAACTAAAAAATGGATTAATCGAACGACTTTCTCGAAGGGAGAGAAGCTCAACGATTTAGGGTAGAAATCCCACAACCGGTCGTGATTCGCCAGTTGATGCTTGAGCTTGATCTCGAGCTTGGATTGGATCCAATCACATAATCAAAACAACGTTCAAATGAAGAACATAGATTACGAAAACAAGTTTTTAATTTGCTCCCCCCCCCCCCCCCCCCCCCCCTCAATTACATATCAACTAGAGACCTTTAAATACATGTTAAAGGCTACTACTAAGAAGGATTTTCTATCCTAGACAAACAAGGAAACTAACAATCAAAACAGAATCCAAAACGCACAAGGAAAGAATGTTTCTTCTCGGGCAAGCAAGTGTCTTAAGTCGTACGCTTCAGTGTACTGGATACCAATTTGGGAGCTCCTGGGAAATGTTTGAAATTGTCTTGATGTATTCAACCAACATCTTCACGCAAAAGTAGAAGTTTCCTACTTTCTTTTTGAAACTTCCAACTGGCTCAAATCATTTCCCAACAAAGAGAACCAGTCCTCCAAAGTTGGTATCTCAACTTCAGAATTTGCCCCTTCCACACTTGTGCAAATTCATCCTCTCCTCCTTGTGTTTGAGTAGCCACCTTCTTCCAGCTCGTTCTGGAGTTCTATTTTGAATATGAATGAGCTTGATGGCTTCCTGGAAAGCTTGTAATGTGTACTAGAATGACAAGTGAGTTGCAAACCACATGGAAGCCCTGAACTCAAGATACAAGGGTCAAAATTAGAGTACTGATCATGATCTACGAAAATACCAAACACTTGTGTTCGGTTCCCTTTTGATCATTTGAGCTCCAAGATGAGACTTCATCACATTGTAGGTTCAGTCTTCTCACCATTCTCAAAAGATAACTCACTCAGAGATGAATTCTTCTTCTTCATCGTCATCTTCTTCTAGTTCAGAGAATCCATTTGAGAAAATCATGGTCCAGTGGGCAACAGATGATTCATACTCCAAACTTATGCAACAATATGTTCAAATCAAAAGGAAGCACTTGAAGATGAAGCCTCGTCTTCAAGACATCCAAGAAGATACATTGAGAGGGGTCGTGAAGATGCACATCAGCGCCTATACCAAGACTACTTCTAAGACTACCACATACACTAATGATATGTTTCTGCGTAGATTTCGAATGCAAAAACATTTGTTTCTTCGCATAGTCGAAGGTGTGATGAAGTATGATCCTTACTTCCAGAACAGTATTGATGTTGTTGAAGAGCAAGTCTTTTACACCTAATGAAGTGTACTGCAACAATGCACATGTTAGCTTATGGTGTGGCTGCATACAATGTTGATGAGTATTTACGGATCAGGGAGACTACTACAACAAAATGTGTCAAAAGATTTGTAAAAGCTGTCAATGCTACTTTTGGAGATGAATACTTGAGGAGGCCAAATGCTGAAGATATCGAAAAATTGCTTCATTAAGGTCAGCAACGAGGTTTTCCAGGTATGTTAGGCATATTGGACTGTATGCACTAGGGATGGAAAAATTCTCATGTTGCATCTTGCATGGCAAGGTCAATATGCTAGAGGAGATCATAAAACTCCTACTATTATGCTGGAAGCTGTAGCTTCACAAGATCTATGGATATGTCATGCTTTTTTTGGTCTTCCAGATACATTGAATGATATCAACGTATTAGATTGCTCTCCAGTTTTTCATGAAGTATTAGAAGGTAGAGCACCAGAAGTTAACTATTATGTCAATGGAAAAAGTTACAACTTGGGCTACTACCTCACTGATGGAATCTATCCAAACTGGGCAACCTTTGTTAAGTCAATCCCGCTGCCACAAGGACCGAAACATAAATTATTTGCTAAGAAGCAAGAGTCAGCCAGAAAAGATGTTGAGAGAGCATTTGGGGTGCTGCAATCACGATTCGCCATCTTTAGTAGCCCAACACGGGTATGGTGCAAGAAGACAATCGGGAAAATAATGAAAGCATGTGTAATCATGCATAACATGATTGAGATTCATATATCCGTCGTTTTGATTATACAGATGATGGGGTGGATTTCAATGTATCCATGCCTATAGTTTTTCAAACTCGGCTGCCAGAGTATGAAGAGTAGCTCCAGAATCATTTGAGAATTCGTAATAGGCCCATAAATCATCAACTTCAAGCAGATTTAGTTGAAGAGATTTGGAATCAATTTGGAGGAGAGGAAGATGACGAGTAGTCTAGTATTTTTTTTAATTTCATTTTGAATTTTGTTTTTCATTTTTTGTATTTCATTATGTAATTTTTCTTTATTTCTATTTGGTGTATGCTATGTATTTTGTGCTTATTGAATTTTCAAAAGTCTATTATCTATTATGCAAAAGTATTGTTAAGAAAAAGAATATGGAGTAGGTCTCATCAATTGCAATTGCTAACCTATTGTAGGTAGGGGTGGAAATTGGGGTGGGTGTGGTTACCCGCCCCACATTTTGCGGGTAACCACACTCACAAATTTACAATTATGCTACCCACAACTCGCACCGCGTGGTTAATGGGTAACCACTACCCACTGTGGGTTTGTGCGGGTTGGGTGTGGTTACCCGCAAAAATCTATCTTTGCAAGCATAGAGTTCTAGTCGCCACTAACGTATTTGTTGTTCGTAACTAGACTATAGTGATATACACTTGTGTTGTTCGTGGAGATACAATTTTGTACATCGATCTTACTTAACGTGGAGATTTTTTCTTTTTGAGTTTGATATTCACCTTTTGTGTCAGAGAGCTGTGATTTCATATTTCCCCTACTAGGGGTGAAATATGACAATTAAATATGATATTGTATTTTTTCACACAAAAACAAAAACATACTGACAAAAGTTACAAAAGGTGTTCACTTTTAATGAATTGATTATTCTCCACTCTATCGATTATAGTGTTTTATAAACTAAAAAATTCTTACATAAAACTGGTTAGGTGTGTCTTTTTTTTTTATGAATAGGTGTGTCTTTCTTATTTGGTGGCTACTTTAATTTTTATCCTCTCACTTTTCACATACTATTATATTATAAAGTTAATTCAGTAAATAAATATAATTAGTGTGGTTATTGTGGATTTTGTGGGTTAACGGCGGTGGGTAGTGTATAACCACTAACCACAAAAATCGTTATTTTACTACCCACACCCAACCCACTACCAACAATAGGTGCAGGTTGGTGCGGTTTGCGGATTATCCACAACCCGCAACCCAAACTTCCACCCCTAATTGTATGGATGTAAGTGGTTTGAAATGGTTGAATTGAATAATTGCTAAAGTTGGTGATGTAGTTGTGGGGTACATTTATGAAATGACTAACCTATTCTGGGGATGTAGACGATCTTAGAGAGAGAAGAATTGATTTTGGTGTGAAGAATGAAGGAGATTGGGGTGGGGTGGGGGCTTGGGGGCTTATATAAGGATCCGACCGCGTGGGGGGCAGTTTGGTCAATTTTCACCAAACGAAAAACCGCGCCCCACCAACGATTTGCCACTTTGAAACAAAAATCGTGCTTCGGGAAAGCAGTTTGGGCGAGGTCGACACAGACCGCTGGGCTAGCGCGGGATTAGACCTCATATCGCATTTCCATCCGACTGTTCCGTAGAACGCCACGTGAAAAGACGAATTGGTGGCTGACCTAATTAAAACCGCGCCCTTTAAAAGCGGTTCTCATTGAAACCGCACCTTCTCCATGCGGTTTGTCGGGTTCCATGAAATGGTAATCTTTTTGGAATTTTTCTGGATTGGTTGGTATTTTTGTATTTTTTTTTTAACGGTGGTATTTATGGAAAACCACCGCAATGGACAGGCCACGCCGTGGCGTGGGGAGGTTGCTTGAATGACTTCAGTTTCACCGTTCGCATCAAAGCTTCACTGTGAAGACGCATTAACCAACCTGAAAGGAACAGAGAAAAGAAAGAAAAACCGAACAAATTTCTTTTCAGAACTAAGGCCGCCATTTAAATCTTGCAATAGGTCTTGCGTCGTCTCTTAGGTCTGCCCACCAGATCCCCTTTCGGCACCTGAATCTCTTATTCCCGGCTAAAACCTCGAGCAATTTGAAATTGAAACCAGGGAATCGCGACACTGAACGAAGCTCAGAGATCCGGTTATTCAGCAATGGAGTCCGCTCAGCAAGGAGGTCTCGAGCGGGACAAGCCAGGCCCTACCTCTTCTCCTGTATCCGTCGTCTCCAATTTCTGGAAAGGTATTCAATTCAGTTACAAGTTCTGGTTCTATGATCACCGGATGTCTTGTGTTGATTTTTGCGAACTAGTTCCACGCAGTGTGCTGCCGAAAGTAGTCCTGCAACTGACTCTGCTGAAATTTTCTTGCACTTCTCTTTTTGCTTTCCCGGAATTTTTGTTTGAATTAAACCTATTGAGAGCACCATTGCTGGTCTTCATGGTTCGGAGGAGGGGAATGTCTCACTTTGATAGGTAAATGAAGTTGATAGCTCTTAAGAGGGATCATACTGGTGTTTCATGTACAGTGTTGGTTGGAAGGAAATTCCCTTGTTGTTTTTCATGTGAAATTGATTCAGTCTGAAATGTGGTACTTCTGATGTAAATCCTTCAGCCAGAGTCAGAAATCTGTTTCAACGTGTATAATCGGTGCCAAAGTAGTTAATCGAATTATGCTGACTAGAATTCACTCACGGGAACACCATGAGATAAGAACTTAGTAGCCTCTCTCCAGGTAGTATGCTACTGATGACTTTCTATGGATGGGTTAATTCTAACGTCGAAGTTTATAAACTACAGTAATACTCTTTGGCAAGGTCTTACTGTATGCGTGTGTGGCATGGTTTCTGTTAGCCTGCTTCAAGCCTTGATCCTTAGTAGTGGTAGGACTATGGATGGGTTAATTCTAACGTCGAAGTTTACAAACTACAGTAATACTCTTTGGCAAGGTCTTACTGTATGTGTGTGTGACATGGTTTCTGTTAGCCTGCTTCAAGCCATGATCCTTAGTAGTGCTAGGAAGTGATGAGATGCTTAATGCAACTTAGGTATATCCTAGCCTATTCTGTGTTGTGATCATGTTTTTACTGTTGAGTATTCGAGACTTCTGCTCTTCGTGCCAGGCTGAAGAAATAGACTTCGTAAGGTGTAAGATAAATTATTTAGGTGTTTTTACTGGTTTAGATTACTTTTACTTTTCATTTATGGAGTTGGCGAGATGAACGCTCAAACAAATAGTCACTGATTCTCCTATTTTTCAGAATTTGATTTGGAAAAGGAGAAAAGTGTACTTGACGAACAAGGTCTTAGAATAGCTGAGAATCAGGAGAACAGCCAGAAGAATCGACGGAAACTTGCAGAGAGCACTAGAGGTAATTCTTACTAGCGGACAATGTTTTCCTTTCGGATCATCTGAAAGAGCATGCCAATTGGATATCTGTGAACTTAATAGCTTGGCTTTTTTGCTGAATTTAGTTTGCCCGCGTGTGATGAGTTAGTGAGAGGCCTTTAGTGAGCATCTGTTGTCTACCATTTCCTTAACTGTCACTTGCTTTTCTTTATTTACCTATGTTAGTGCATGGTGACGTTGGACTTACGCATCTCTAAAAACTGTTTACAGATTTTAAAAAAGCTTCATCGGAGGACAAGTTAGGTTTATTCAACTCTTTACTTAAGGGATACCAAGAAGAAGTTGATAACCTTACCAAGAGAGCAAAATTTGGAGAAAATTCTTTTCTTAATATATATCAGAAGCTGTATGAGGCTCCAGATCCATATCCAGCCCTTGCGTCAATTTCTGTAAGCAGGACTTCTTTATATTTATTGTTTCTATTCATGGATGTCATGGAAATGGGGTGATGCTGTCAGCCTGCGTGTTTCTTATTTGGAAGCCTACTAGGGACTGCATAAATTTTGGTTATAGAACTGTTTCCATGCTCTGTGAATATGTTGGTTGGTTTTTCTTAATTGAAAATAATTGCTTTTCTGAAATGCTGGTGTTGGAGGTTTTCCCTTTATGTGATTTTAGTAGTAATTTTGCATTCTGCATTACTTCAACTAATTAAAGCCTGAAGATGGCATTTACTGTTTTGCGAGGTTTTGCTTGCTTCATTCTGTTAAGGTTTTCATAGCATATTTTGTAACTATGGTTACCAAGGGATTTTTTAGGAAAGACTTCATTGAGCACGCTTTTCTCATCAGTTGAACTCAGAATCATACTGAAAGTATGACATGTCCCATCTGATTTGTCATTCTCAATGCAGGAACTAGATCTGAAACTGTCCGAACTAGAATCAGAAAACCGGAAAATGAGGCTTGAGCTAGAAGAATTCAGGACAGAAGCAACTCACTTAAAGAATCAACAGGCAACAATAAGAAGACTAGAGGAGCGCAATCGTCAATTAGAGCTGCAGGTATGCATTTAGCTGTGGTGTAGACCATGGATTTATCAGGAGGTCTTGTTAAAATATATATATATTTAACTTAAACCCATATGGCTTCTAGATTTTAGGGTAGCCTTATATGCATGTGATCTCTGTTGTATCGGGAAGTTAGATACACGAAACTTGGATATACCTATGTTTTTTTTTTTTTTTCATTTTGTTTGTCAAACTCTCTCTATCAGTAAAAAAGTAGGCACCGACGACATTCTTACTGTTTCAGTGAATGAGTTATGGCAGGATTATTTTTCTTATGTTCTGCATAAATAAGCTCAAAATAGCTGCTGTTTTCTCACTTTATCTGCTATCCTTTATGTAATTTAAGGAAGCTGAATACATATGATGTGTTTATCTCCTTAGAGCATAGTTGTAGCAATTTTGTCCCTTCTATGTTATTAGAATATTTTATTTCCTTTTGCACTGATATGGCAGTATCTGAGTTTCTCTGTGATTATGGTTTCAGATGGAAGAAAAAGTGAAGGAGATTGTTGAAATGAAGCAACGTAGTTTGGCTGAAGAAAACCAAAAGACCTTAGAAGTGTTGAAAGATAGGTGGGTAATCTAAGGCAGAAGTACTGCATAGCTCCTCTCTCTCTCTCTTTTTTTTTTTTAACATGCTCATTGAGATTGCTATTGTGAAAGTCCCCTGAATGTTGGCTCCCCAATAAACCGAGTTCTTCATATATCTGCATCTTCTGTTCTTAGTTTCTTGGTTTGTAACTTGTTCTCTTTTCTAGGGAGCAATCCTTGCAAGATCAACTACGACAAGCTAAAGAAAGTGTTTCAAATATGCAGAAATTGCACGAACTCGCACAGAGTCAATTATTTATAGTTCAAGCTCAATCAGGTAAAATGGTATCCCTTACTTTGAAATCCCACGAGCTTATGTTGCGAAGTAGCTTTGTTATTGTCATATATTTTTTTTATGAATGATAAGGGGATTGTACTGGTGACCCGCATATAAGATATATGCAACGTTTTTGAAGAGCATACATAGAGTTCCATATTTATTGTTGTCAATTGTCACAAGCCCTTATTGATCTTTTATCGGTAACTGCTGTGAAACAATGCGTGTATCCTGTTTAAACTGGATATGACCTCTTATGACTGCAAAAATATCAGATGAAGAAAAGGCTGCAAAGCAATCAGAGCTCAATCTTTTGATGGATGAAGTTGAGAGGGCTCAAACACGGCTTCTTAGTCTTGAGAGAGAAAAGGTTTGTTCAATGTTACCAGATCCAACTATTCATCAAGACCTTTCAGTTATCTCAGTTCCTCGACTGACTGTTCCTTCTTTGAACTATTCACCAATACCTTTCACTTATATGTAAATACATACTGGTTTCGTTCAATCTTTTTGTCTGCAACGGTAGATGTCCATTTCTGTCAGAAGTTATGCTCTTGTTTTGACCATCTTATTGTTTGATCGAGTCATGCCACAAAATTAAAATACCTTAGTTTTGTTCTGGATTCTTGATCCATGAGGAATCTACTGAACCTATTTTTTGAATGGTGATATGGAAAAAAGATAACAGACTAAAGTACCAACCATCTTCACACTTTTATACTTAAATCGATAAAAAAAAAAAACAGAAAGAATATAAAGCCTGATTCATCTCGACATTCACTAATCGCACTTGGCCTGCCAGACTCCATCCAAATTCTTGCTAGGTCCTTTGAGTTCATGCCAAAGTTCATGTCTTGATGAAATTTTCTTGTGATTTGCAGGGTGTCCTGTGGTCTCAATTACAGTCTGCAAATGAAGACACTGGAAGCAAGAGAAGGTTTGAAATATGCAAGCATAGTCACTTGATTCCTTTCTGCTTCTAACTCACCAGTATCCATTTAAAGATGTACTTTAGATGTGCATACGGCAATATCTAATGCTGTCGATTTTATGACGAACTCATCAAATTAAAATTTCCAATGGTATTCTGATCTAATTATCTATTACTTTTACAGTGACAATGTGGATTCTAGTAGTATGCTGGAGAATTCTCTAAGTGCCAAAGAGAAGATTATTTCTGAAATGAACATGGAACTTCACAACATTGAGACAACCTTGGCAAATGAACGGGAACAGCACATAAATGAGATTAAAAGGTTGAATGCACTGATCATCGAGAAGGTTAGTTTAAGGCTTTTCTGCCAGGATATTAATGAACTATTCAGTTCTAATGTTGTCAAAAACAAAATGCGAGATTGCATTATAAAATGACATATGGGGGTTTGGCTTCTCAAAATAACTTTTCCAATGTTACGAAGTTTCTTTGTTATTCCCCAATTTCATGCTTTCTAATCAGCTATTTAATTATCAGTCCCCCTTTCCCCCCACAACTTGTTTTTCCAGGATGTTGCTATTCAGGACGCGAAGAAAGAACTTCAAGCTAGACCTACGCCAAAATTAGTGGATGACTTGCGTAAAAAAGTGAAAATTTTGCAGGTAATACAGTTCACTCGTTCGAATAATTCCAGTCTTGTCTAGGTCATTGGATTTGGTCAGTTAAATGAACTTTCTCAATCTCATTTGTTTTATGGACAAGTAATTATGAGAACAAACAAATGGGGTAACCAGACTAATCTGTTATTTTTCTTCATTTTTGTTTTCTTAGCTGCAATTAGTTTTAGCATTAAGTTTGATTATTTTACAATCTTATTTATTTGATTTCAGTCTTCTCAATATCAGTGGATTACAGGATCCATCAACAATTCTCAAACTTATGGTGTTGTGTAGTTGTTTATAAGTAACTAGGAGGATGCTTGTTGCTGTAGCTGATTTAGCTTGCAACCATCTTAAAAAGTGATTGTTTCCTTGTAATTGTAGTGCTTGACGTGCTTAATTTCAGCCTAAAGATTTGAAGTAACAGCCTGTAGGTCGATGTTTTTTTTCTCTACACTAGTTGTATAGGTTTGTAATTTAAATATGCATCCTGTTTTTTCTACTGTACTCTTTCTTACATTAAGTAATTGTATGTGACTTATTCAATTGCATTTTTATCTTAGTTCCTCTGTCTGCTTGTGTTCTACCCTCACTATTCTGTGAAATAGGCGGTGGGCTATAACTCAATAGAGGCAGAAGATTGGGAGGCTGCAACTAGTGGTGAGGAAATGAGCAAGATGGAGTCCCTTCTTCTAGATAAAAATCGGAGAATGGAACATCAAGTGACACAGTTGAAGGTAGAACTGCACCTTATTTAATGCATAGAGCATATGTTTTGTGCCATATCCCCACCCTAACAATACAAAACCTAGCTCCGGGAAACTTCCACCTCCTCTCTCCTTGTTCTCCCTTTTTATCTCTGAATTTTAAAACAACTATCTGGACAACCCATAATACGCATACAATGGGCCTCTCCAATTGCTGTCAATGGGTTTCTATCATTTTTATTTAAAACGCGTTGTGCTTCCAGGTCCAACTTTCTGAGAAATCATCCTTGCTGGACACAGCTGACAGCAAGATTATAGAGCTTACTTCCAAGGTTAATGAGCAACAGAAGTTGATTCAGAAATTGGAAGATGATATTTTGAAGGTATGAAGCTATAACTTCCGTTGTTGTCAGAATCGATTTAGCACTTATTCGAGCTGTGTGTTCTTAGTGGGCTTATAGAATCTTTCCCTTTGATGATCTGTATCATCTCAATGAATGAAGGTGAATCTGGTTTTTTCTTAAGTCCTTCGTCTGGGATCATGAAAATCATCGTCTCTCTGAGGTGAAAATGAAACTGATAGCATTCTAGGGTTCCTAATGGATTTAAATTGTTAACATTTGTTACCAGCTGGGTCTAACTGTCATGTTTAAATTTTCTATTTAGTAATTCCCAGTAAGCAAACCACTTGTAAAGGTTTACTGTTTTTTAACATGTATTTTTTTTAACACAGATAACGTTCTAGGGTTCCTAATGGATGTTAAATTGTTAACATTCAGTACCAGCTGAGACTAACTGTCATGTTCAAATTTTCTATTTAGTATTGGCAGTGAGCAAACCAGTTGTAAAGGTTTACCGTTTTTTAAGCTTGTATTTTTTTGACACAGGGTTATGGTTCCAAAGATCGAAAGGCCAGTTTATTTGAGGATTGGGACCTCTCAGAGGCAAGTGGAGCAGAGTCATCTGAGGTACTATCCGTCTTTTGTTTGCAGCTGTTATGGTTGAATCGAAGGAATTTACCAGTGACAACAATCAGGGGATATTATGTGAACTAGAACTAATGTGATCTTTGCCGAACAGTATTTAGCTGTCGATATTTCTTACAGTGATTTAATAGGACAAAAAATATAGTCTTAGTGGATTGCTGAACTTAAGTTAGTTAGTTACCATGATGCTATAAACCTCTAGTTGCATGTTTATCAGGTAAGGTTTGACACTAAATGTTTCTTTTAATAGGTTAGTTGTCCACAATTTGGCCTCATATTTGACTGCCGGAGTGCCGGTGCTATACTGTTCTCTTGTTCAGGATTGAGGCATCTCTTTCCAATACAAAATTTAAAAGGGGATTGGGGGGAAGGAGAAGGAAAGTAGCCTGTTGTCCAATTTATTGCTTGTATATTTGAAAGAGCACGGACCTAGGTGTGCGATTTAGGGATTGCGATTGGTATGAGAATTGGGGATTTGGATGAGGTAGAATGGAAATTAGGGTTGAGAGGAAGAGGAATCGGGTCACCGGGATGGTGGCCGACGGGTAGAGAGGAAGAGGAGAGGGCTCGGCTAGAGAGAGGAAGAGAGAGTGCTTAGGGAATAATTACGTTGTTATTGCTTAACCCTAGCTTATGCCTAACACAGAATATATATAATTCGACTAATTCCCTATAACTACCCAAAGACTTAACCTAACCAATTTGACCCCCAATAATTCCCGAAATATCCAATGTATCGTAAAACAATCAAATAACAATTAAACCCCCCAAAGACATGTATCTGACATTCCATCCCCCCTTGAAACCCACCTTGTCCTCGAGTTGGACCTTCTTTCTTCTCTTCCTTCTTCCCTTCTGCCTCCTGTGCCTCCACTTCCTCGCCTTCAACCTCCCAGTTTCCGACGAGCAGCATCAGATGTCCCTTGGCACACTGGTGTCCCACCGTGTATCTTTCGTCACTGTTGAAACAACGACCATCTCTTCGCTTCTGGTCCATTTCCGCCTGAGTTAGTCGGACGAACCCTTTTGGCGGCAGCCTGGTCGGGAACCTGCTCCCCGGCGCGGCTCTAATTGCTACCGGGCTTGCGTTTCCCGGCGGCGGTGTGGTACCCGCTGCTCCAGGTTCAACACCTCCACTGGCCTTCTGGATGCGCCCGTTGAGGTCCTCCAACTGGCCAACTCCTCTTCCTTGCGCCCTGCAATTCTGAAAGCAACTCGAAAAGAGTCAGGCTCAAAAACATTAACAGTCGTTGCCAGCTCGGGACGGAGCCCCGCCATACACAATCCCACTAAGGTCTCCTCTGTCATTTCCTTGCACTGGTTTCCCAGTTTAAGGAACTCCGCGCAATACTCGGCCACCGAACCCGTCTGTCTGAGCTTGGCGAGCTGTTCCGGAGCCCACCCCTCCGCTTTGCCAAACTGTTAGCATAGCTCGTCCTGGAACCTGACCCACGATATGACCTCACCTGCCGCCGCATAAGCTCTCTCGGTCCATTCCCACCACCGGAGAGCATCTCCCTCAAGATAGGACGTCAGGTGCGCCTTCCGCTCTTCTCGAATCGGGTGGTTCCTGAACCACCTATCTGCCGCATAAAGTCATAAGCCCACATCTCCAGACCCATCGAACTTGGGAAACTCTATCACCGGCGGTTTAGCTCTAAATACCAGTTCATCCTCAGCATCATACAGGGGATTACTATATCCATACCTGCCTGTGTTTGGTGGTGGCTCTCGATTCATCGGGCCACTATGGTAGTAGCTACCCTCTGCTCGCTGCTTGTAAGAGTAGGGCCAGTCACCCGATCCCCTGGTGGTTCCCGCCGTACTCTGGTTTGGTCTCAGATCCCTGCCCAATTTCCCGACAGCCTCGGCCTCGCCCTCCCCCTGCTCGCGGTGTACTCCACGGGGGATACCCATACTCCGGTCCTTTACGAAGCCCTTGCCCGGTGCGCCCCAACTGTTGTCCGCCGGTTGGTGGCCCGACCTGGTTTGATTGATTCCGGTCCGACCGGACGACCACCCAGTGGTCGGTTCGGTTCGCCCGACTTAGGGTTCGATACCCAGCCCAATCTTGCCTCCTTTGGGCCTGGGTCCATCCATCTTTCCTGGTCCGCGAAGCTAAGCTCATCCTCCTCCCCGGGCCCAATCAGCCATGGGTCCTCTCTGTCGGGCCTAGTCGGCCACGGCTCTCCTTCGTACCCCACCATCTTCTGCTTCCCACGTGCTTTGTCGTGGGCCTGGTCCGTCGGTGTAGGCAGTAAGCCTGGGCCGCTGAACACCGGCTCTGGCACGCTTATCGTGCCCAATTCTCCTTCCTCCACGGTGCGGCTGCGCGGCATGGAAGAGCTCCCCAGTGCGCCGCCCTTCGCGGTCGAGACCCGCGCCATCCTTGCTTCGCCACCGCCGTGGCCACTCTAGCTCCAGTGCCGCCGCTCGGCGGCTTCTCTTTGCTCGTCGCCGCCGTGTCGCCTCCACCCGGTCCGGCCAGCTTCTCCGCCGCCGTTGCCGGCGTCACAGCGCGGGCTGCGGTTGCTGGTTGCTCACGGTTCTTAAGACCCTGGGTTAGCACCTCCTTCATCGTCGCTGCCAGGGCTCCACAGATGTTTTTAGCCATGCTCTTGCTCATCTCCTCGATGGATGCCTTGATCTAGTTACCCATGGCTTCAATTGCCCCGATCGAGCCCCTTGAGGCATCAGCGGCTCTCACAGTAACCTCCGTCAGGCGACGCCACCATCGCGTCATACTTGCTTGTCGTCACATCCTTGATCGTCACGATCTCCTTGTTCTTGCGCGGCGGTTGTTGTTTGTCCGTAGGGCTTGTCATCTTCGGATTACAATACTTCTTCAGAAAATCGGCACACCAGCCAGGCTCTGATACCACTGAAAGAGCACGGACCTAGGTGTGCGATTTAGGGATTGCGATTGGTATGAGAATTGAGGATTTGGATGAGGTAGAATGGAAATTAGGGTTGAGAGGAAGAGGAATCGGGTCACCGGGATGGTGGCCGACGGGTAGAGAGGGAGAGGAGAGGGGGAGAGAGTGCTTAGGGAATAATTACGTTGTTATTGCTTAACCCTAGCTTATGCCTAACACAGAATATATATAATTCGACTAATTCCCTATAGCTACCCAAAGACTTAACCTAACCGGTTTGACCCCAACAATTCCCGAAATATCCAATGTATCATAAAATAACCAAATAACAATTAAACCCCCCAAAGACATGTATCTGACAATATTGTTCTTGACTGGACTCCTTCGGTGCAGCATCTGGACCAAAAACATGTCTCCTCGGATCAAGATCAGAGTTCAATGCTTAAGGTGATCTGCAACCAACGAGATAGATTTAGGGCACGTCTACATGAGGCAGAAGAGGTATAGTTTATCTACTTTCAGTTTTGTGCTAGTTTTTTGGAGGACGATTTCACATGGGCTGTTTTTGGGAATACACCAGGAGATAAGGCAACTGAAGGAGAGAATTGGAGCTCTAACTCAGGAGTTGGAAAAATCTAAAGCAGACAATGTCAAGTTGTATGGGAAGATGCGTTATGTCCAAGATTACAATCTTGAGAAAGTAGTTTCAAGAGGATCTTCAAAGAAGGTATACTCTTGTAATTTCACATATACCTCCAAATTATATCTTGTCTCCTCTTATGGATAGCCTTACTATTTGGCATTTGATATCTATTTTTTCACTTTCAACTTTTCCAGCATGCGGAGGATCTGGAAAGTGGTTTTAGCTCGGATGTGGAATCAAAGTACAAGAAGATATATGAAGATGACATAAATCCATTTGCAGCGTTTTCAAAGAAGGTTTGTTTCTTAGCTTTATTTCCTTTGTCAACCACAAGCATATTCGCAGGTATGCATAGATGCATCAGCCTCTGTTACGGTAGTTGTCTCTTCCTTCAAGTCACCTTTGTAGTCTGTACTCACGAGTCTTGTTTTATTGCGGCAGCTTAATATTCTTATTAGTCTAGTTATTCCAGAAAAAAATATTGCGGAGAAGTGGTTCACTTGTTAGATATGCCTTCTGATCTTATTTCTCCTCTTATGAAAAGCTTAACATGTTATCAAGGATCTTGAGCACCACTAGTTGCAGTGAATTAAGTTGGTTGGGAATCAAGTTTAGTTTTTGCTTGTTTTCCTTTTTTCAGGCAGATAATCAAATAGGTAGGCATTACTTCATGTGCTTCTAGAGATTTTAATTCATCTGAACTCTTCTCTCTCTTTTGATCTTTCTTTCGGGTTGGATCCAGTCCTTAAGCCTCATTGTTTAAGGAGGTTCTTAAACCATTTTTATTGGCTGATACTAGATTAGGTAGTTAATGAGGGGTTAGTAGTTAATAATTAGTTGGAATAAATAAGATATTATGAAAATATAATTAATATTACTCATTAATGATTCTCTTTCTCTCTCCCTCTTGATCTTCTCCATAACCCTCTCTCTCCACTATAATTAAAAGGAAATTCGAAATTAATTTAATTAAATATTATTATTTAATATTTAATAAATTCAAACTTAATATTTTTTATATTTTTAAATGAAAATAAAAAATATGTGCTCTCTCTCACTTCGTGGCAACTTGCAATACAGTATTAACATTTTGCAATGACGTTATCAACATTTATTAAATGAATCGTTATTATTATACCTCATCATTATTAACGACTTCAATATACTTATCAATTCCTTACAATTACATTATTAACAATTTTGGATCAATTGTTACTGTTTTATAGTTTCGTCATCAACGCCTATGAATGAATCATTAAGTTATGTAACATAGTCATTAATAGTTTGAATAACTATATCATTGATTTACAACATCTTTAATACTAATGATTCACATTTTCACATCATGTTTATAACTATCTAGTCATGGCCTCTTCCAATAATTTCTAATGACATTATTAACGTTTTATGATCAATTAATATTGCTTTACATTATCATTCTCAATGATCATAAAGCACAATACTAATTTTCAACATTTTGGATACTTGTGACATAGTCCACCTGTGTGATTCAGTCAAACAAACATTGTCCAGAAAAATATTAGCTCAAGCAAACCAACATTCACGCCTCAACACCAAACTATTAATAACAATACAATAAATCATTGATAACGAAAAGTATTTCGTTGAAAATAAACACAAAACATCAATGTAAAAATGTCCGACTTCAACATTATAAATGACATCAAATTTTTAATAAAGATACTAAAAACCATTAATATCAAATCAAGTCACTGATAAGGAAATAGATTTTTGTAATATAAAAATATTAATAATATTCCGATGCAATGTTTAATGTCAAATAGCATTAAAAACGCATTAATAAGTAACATGTATTTAATAGATAATGCATCCAAAAACTTTGATAATGATAGCAACTAATGATTGTCAAGTATCTTATTAGATATTATTAATATCTTATTTTCAAACATTGATAATGCTTATACACGCCTATTAATAATGACACCAACTACGTTACTAACTTAGACTGAAAGATTAATAACCATAGTTATATCATTAAACGTAAATTCACTTTTGATAATGTCATATACAAACGAATATCTAACAAGTATGCTTGTTGATAATGACATTTGACAAAGTTACAAACATAAACGGAAAATTTTAATAATTCAAATCACTAAACATAACCAATCTTACAAATGAATTAAATTTTTGCTAATAGTTGTATTGTGCTTGGAAAAAAATATTGATAATAGCACTTCAAATGATTATAAAATCATTGCGAACCAAATTGATAATACGATGTAATAGTAAATAAACTTCAAGTACCAACAAATTGAAAACACAATTTCACTTTTCCTAATATTACAAACAAAACATAACATAAAAGGTTAATAATGTCATATAAAATTATTAAAAAACATGTCGAACAACATTAATAATAAAAAAAACGAATACCTAACAACGAAAAATCTCAAACCCATGCAATAAAAAGCCTTAATGATGATTCAATTTATAAATATTGATAATGTCATTACAAAATGTTAATACTTAATACTAATCGGAAGTTGCCAAGATGTGAGAGAGGCATATATTTTAAATTTCAAATTTCCATTTTAGAAAACGAAAATTATTAAATTTGGATTTTAATAAATATTAAATAAAATTAATTTCATATTTCTTTTTAATTATAATGTAGAGAGAGGGTTATGGAGAAAATCATGGGAGGAGAGAGAAAGATAATCATTAATTAATTATATTAATTTTAATTATATTTGCATAAACCCTAATTACCCTTAACTACTTTTTAACTACTAACCCTCATTAACTAACTAATCCACTTTCAGCCAATAGGAAGGCTTTAAGATTTTCCTTATAAAATGAGCCTTAAGGACTAGAACTCAAGCCTCTTTCGCGCAAATCTTAATGCTCATCTATAGCAAGCACGCATCACCATCATCTTCTGTTTTTTGTTCTTCTGGAAATCTTGAAATTATATGCTTGTTTACCGACCAGCTTTATTGTTTTTTCCATATCACTGTTTAAGAAAATGTTTTTACTCCTCAGGAAAGGGATCAACGGTACAAGGAGTTGGGATTCAGGGATCGAATAACACTTAGCAGTGGACGTTTCCTTATGGGCAACAAGTATGATTCATTCATTAACCTCTGAATCAATTCTCTTGATATACATCTCATTTGATGTAAAAGAGAAGGCCTACCTTTTTTTCCCCGAAATGAAGTGCGCTGTGTCATCTTGACTTAAAAGTGACACTAGTCTCAATTCATGATCATGGCAGGTATGCACGTACTTTCGCATTCTTCTACACGATCGGGTTACATGTTCTGGTGTTCAGCTGCCTTTACCGAATGTCGGCTCTCAGTTACCTTAGGTAATGATATATCATTTTGCTCGTACTCCCTGCTAGACAGAGATCCTATGTTGCATCCTTTATGTCCAAGTGTGTGTTATTAATCTTTCTGTCATGTATCCAGCAACGGCGAGGAATCACTGGCTGTAGATCAAACTATAAACCTCCCGCATGCACTCTGATCGGGCTACGAGAAGAAGCTGAAGTGTTCATTAAATCGCACAGGAGGAGGTTCCCATGTTTTAATGGTAATGTACATACGAAGAGTGGACATTTCTTGCATGTCCAGAACTAGTGCAGTTTTTGGTTGGTAACTCAGCAGGTTGGGCTCGATCTTTGTATGAATGAACAGGACAATAGTTTTGTAAATGCAACGGTTACTTTCCGACTCATATCTGCAATGACCGTGGATGTGAATAATCTCGTTCCTTTGAATTTCCCCCCCGAAGAATACGTTATAATATATTAACTCTTAAAATACAGTAGTTTAATAATAAGAAGATTTGGATTAATTGCAAGGTTGTTCATTGGGATTAAAAAAAAGTTTATGTTTAGTCACTACAAATATTTAATTCCATTCGTGGTCACAATAATTAATCAAACCGTTCAAGTTTGGTCACTCTCCGTTACCTTCCGTTAGTTTCCTTTAATGCCGTTGGTTTTTTGCTGACGTGGCTAATCGAAGTGCCTAATCAGTTAATTTTAAAGAAGAAAAAAAATAAAAATCCACCTGCCATGTCATTTTAGTTAATCATACATAAGTTACCCAACCCTTGACCCGACCCTTCCTCTTCTTCCACTAATTGACCCAACTGAAAAAAATCCCTACCTCCCAAATCACATCTCCACACTAGCCCAAAGACGGCAGATTCTCGATTTTACTCCAATTTGGCAGATTCCCAAATTGCAAATCAAATTTCCACGCAACGCCACCTCTCCGACTGTGGCTTCTTCTTCTTCCTTGCCTTGAACGACCTTTGTCCCACAAGACCCACTCCCTTTCTTCTCCACCTTATGGTGTCGCTGAATGAAATCGATGGAAGGAGTACAACCCGCGGAGGTAACAGGGGATGGCAGAGTGAGATTTGCGTTGTTCTTTCCTCTACCCTCGTGGTGATTCAAAAATTTGATTTTGCACGAGGAGAAAGGGGATGGAGGGACTGTGGTTGCTCTGTTCTAGGAGGGGGAGGAAGGTTAATTGCAGTAGGAGACGGCGACCATGAGTTCGGCGAAAATGGATCTGGCTTCGTGCTTCGCAAACGCGTCGCCGCTGGCAAGGATTAGAGCGTGGAAGTCGGATTTGGAGCAGATTTTGGTGACCATGTGGAGATGGGAATCGTCTTCGTAGTCAGCGTGGAGCTAGACGAGGTGAGGATTTGGATAGACGATGCGCGGGATCTTGGGGTCGGTCGAGAGTGAGGGTGTGGGTTACTTGCAGTGGGAGCCTGCGATGAAGGAGATGCACTTGAAGACGACGCTGAAGCGTACCCGGTCGATCTCCTCGCAGATTTGGTAGTCTCTTTTCAAGGCTTCACTCATTGCTTTCATTCTACTCGCTAGCAATCAACAACAATGGCAGATTGGAGGTCGCCGCAAGAACCCTCCTCGTGAGATGATGAAGAAGACGACCGGAGCTAGCTTCCTTCCCGCAGGGAGGGGTCTATTGGTAAAATTATGCCAAGTTTTGAGTTGGGTCAATAGTGGGGGTTGGGCGGGTTCGGTTATCTGATGTGGCTACTTACTAACGTGGAGGTTTGTTTTTTATTTTTTATTTGTTAAAATTGGGTGAGTAGGCATTTCCGTTAGCCACATACGCAAAAATCTGACGACGTTAACGGAGATTAACGGATGGTAACAGAGAGTGACCAAACTTGGATTGTTTGATTAATTATAGTGATCACGAATGGAATTAAATATTTATAGTGACTAAACATGAACGGTTTTTGTAATTCTTTGCAATTAACTAAAGAAGATTTCAAATTGCACATATTTGAACTTGAGATACAAGCAATAAAGTATAAATCTGCTCAAATTTTAAGATTTTGCATCTCAAATTTTAAGATTTTGCATAACTTTTCAAGATCTCTATAGGCGCAATCAAAAGATAATCTAGAGGCGCAATCAAAAGATAATCTAGAGGATAATTTTTAGCTCGATCATCTGTTGGATGCAATTTTCTACATAACTGCTACAATTTTTTTTTTGCAGAAGAACTCCTAAATCTAAAAACATGTCATCTTTCAAAAATTGCTCTCTAGTAAAAGTTGTAGTCTTTGAATAGTTATATAAAATAAATTTCTTTTATAATGATCAGATGGCAAAGCACAAAATTAAGACCGTCTTAAGTTTAATGAAATCAGAAATTGACACATTTGGGCCAGCAAACGATCTTATTTGAAGGCGTAGGCAAAGGCTAACCATATAACCTTTGATCGTTTGTAGCTGTAGAGATCTTAAAAAGTGATACGAGATACAATAAACAAATTGCGTCTATCAGCAACTGAGCGCAAATTTAGGACCGTTTGATGTTCCAACGTATGCAAGGTGAAAATTGTAGGAGTCTCTGGTGATTTAGGAGCTAGATCGCTCCTACAGAGCTATCAAAATAGAACTGATTCTGCAATTTCTTTCTAAAATAGTCCATGGATGGCCGGGAGTCCCAGACCTCACGTCATGACAAATATATGGGACAAGACCAGCCTCCTTCAATCTTAGAGCTGCTTCACTGCAATGTCGGTATCTCTTTCCCTTGCGTGGATCATAACATCCATCCTCCATGGAACCAAAAGGGACCGGACATGTTAATATTTCCTCCTGCTCTACAGAACCAATGAACCTAAAATGTGTGACAAAAAAAACAGCAGGAAGCAAAAGAGGGATGGGCTAACTAGCAGTAAAGGTTAGACAACAGGACCATCTGCAGCAGCATGCGGAGCACGCAGATTGCTGTTCGGAGCAGCAAGGAGCAAATGACTCCCGCACTAGTCAATAGCTGCTGCGGCAAAGCCTTGTACCAGAAGAAAGTAAGTTGGAACAATGATCCTCGCAAGAGTTGCCCAAGCTTACTTATAGTGACCTACATTGATGCCTTCCTCTAATTAAAGAATCTTTCCAAGGATCAATCTTTCCTTGTTCTAGATATTGAGACATTACATATTTCGGCTTGGAGTTCCTAGTTTGGATGTTCATAACGAGATCAACCCGAGTTAAAATAGATTACGACGAGATACGATCAATCAAAATCAAGGAGAATTCGTTGATGAATTCTCATCGGCACTATGTTTCCTGCAACTCAGAAACTTATATTGCAATTTATACGTTGGTCAGGCACATTACCACAAGTATCCATGGAAGGGTTTCAGGCTAGGTTAGGCTAGCCCAACAGAAAACTGAGCTAGCTTGGAAAAATCGCAGCATCCATGACCACACACAAGTAGGGTTTGCAGCAATAGAGACGAACATGGGAGCAAAAGATCACTGAATAACTGGTAAACAGATAGCCGGGGGATATCCAAACAAGGGAAGCTTTCTCAGTGTAATGATCAAAGATACAACAAGGAGCTAGCAGTTGCTTTTGTATGCTCCCCTAAACTGTTATAATGCCTAACCCTAGAGCAACAGAGAAGAAGCATGACCTGAATTTCAATTTGCAAATGAGGGAAAGCAGTTCAAGGAGGCATCATTTACAGTAACGATCGGCCTTCTTCTTGACGCGATCGTCGAGAGCGTCCTCAACATTCTTCTCCTTCGCCTTAGGGTCGTAACCGAACTTCTTAGCCTCGACTGGGAAGAGATCATCGTACTTCTTCTTCCTCGCGGCGTCAATTGTGTAGACCTCAGCAGCCCCGGCAGTTCCTTCCCCTGAAGCATCGCCATCGCCAGCCGTAACTTCGCCTTCCAGCGGCTGCGCCACGTCGCCGTCGTACAGTTTCGATTTCTTCTTCTTCTTTCTCTTGGCGATGGCTTTACTAGAAACGGCAACTTCGCCACCCTTGAAGGAGAGTCTACCTCCTTTCACTCTCTCGTACGGGTCCGACATCGCCTCTCCGCTTCTCCTACGTCTCCGGTGACCTAACACTTCTCGATGTGTGCAATTAAATACCTCTCCACTGGTAATTGGGATCCCGTCAACGACTTCACTTCTAGTCCACTAATTCAATTTACTTTCCCTTGTAGTCCCTCAACTTGGATAAGAGTTTTAATAACACACAATGTTTTTTTTTCTTCTTTTTTCTGTTTTCAGAATGAACCGGATGGTGAACCGAAAAAGTTGGTGGTTCAGGGTTCAGTGGTTTGGTGAACCGTTGATATAACATATAAGACTTGTATATTACACTAATTTAAGAATAAAGTTATCATTGATCGTAAACAATTTCAAATTCATATCATCACCAAAATATATAATATGAAATTCATTCAAATCATCTCACCAAAGAAATCATATTTTTTAAAAAATCAAATTAAAAATTACGATGTCAATCGGTAGTGGACAACAAAATTGGAATGAGAAGAGGAAGCATATATAATGGGAAACACTTGGTGGTTAGAGTAGCGGTACAAATGAGAAACAAAAAAAGCCAACCATCGGTCCTCCCGTGCCAACTTCGGGAGAGCGTTCTCTAATGTAGTGACTGTTAGGAACGGAATAACAACAAGGAACGGGGTTATCAAATATGGAGCTGAGCCGCGGATTAGGTCGCTTTCTTTAAGACGTTTGCGGCACTGCCCTCGATGCGCACGGCAGACTATCAACCGGTCGTCTCCAGGATAAAACAGCTCTTCTCGTATGCTCGACGGTTTTGTGCGAAAACCGGAACTCTATTGTGTTTCTGCTCATTGTGGTGTGTTTAGAGGATATGAAAGGTCGGTTATTTATAGGAGCCGAGTCCCCCAAGAATATTCCTCTTTCGTGGGGAATAAGTCACGATAATTAAGGAGATAATCACTCCTTAATTAAAACCGAGTCGGTTAAGATAAATCCTGCTGGATTATCCTTCAAATATTTCTTTTTAATCGATTATTCTCTTCCAGCTCGTATTTACCTAGGATAAAGAATAATCGATTAATAATTAATTAAAAGATAAATAATTTCGTTCAAAATTTCTCCAAAAAATATTGTCTCAAGCTGAACCACCCACCCACCGGTCGACCAGACGGCGCGCGTGTGTGTGGTGGTTCATTAGGTCTTCCCTCTCCGATAAAAGTGGGTCACCCCAAGAGGTATGCCCTTAGGAGAGAGGCTCCTAACTTTATACAAATTTCACCAAAATAAAACTATCAACGTGGTAATTTTTCCTTTTTGAGACTCTATAACTTTCAAAACTATTTTATTTCCAACAGTCACATTGAGGTTGAGAAGAGTAGTACTAATAGTCATAATCAAGATGAAGTTTGGAGAGAAATTTCATCATACGAGTCTCTTATTGTTGCATTGAAAACTTCTGCAAAAGACGTTGAGTGAGTAAAGAGGTAGTTAGCATATCATACTCTAGTGGCCTAGTCAAGATTGATGTTTAGTGGAGTCTCATTTATTTACGAATAATACTCGTATTCAATTACAAAGTACATTTACTTACTATATACTCAATCAAGTAGTAATTTGTTAAAATACTAGTTATTCAGCTATATAACTTACTTTTTTCGTGTCAAGCATAGTTGAAATGAGGCATTCTGATAGTTATCTAAACATTAGTTTCACAAGAAATAAACTAACACATACATTAGACTATAAAATGCATTTCATGACCAATAGCAAATAAACTAACACATACATCATACTATAAAATGCATTTCATGACCAATTTTTTTTATCGTAATAGAACGAATGCGCATGGTTAAAGGTAGGGGTGTGCAATGTTCCGGTCTGTACCGAACCGCACCGGACCAAACCGAGCTTTGGACCGGACCGGATCGGACCGAGTATAATGCGGTCCGGTCCTTGGTCCTATTGAATTTTACAATTACTGAAGAAATGGTGGACCGAGCTTATTTTTGGACCGGACCGAACCGGACCAAATGAACCAAATGCAATGATGGTCCGGTCTTTGGTCCTAAGATATCTTTCAATAATGGACCGCGGTTCTCATGGGTATGATCCGGTCCGGACCGGACCGAACCGTTGCGCACCCCTAGTTAAAGGGTCTTTCTAGTTATAATAAGAAGAAGAAAAATTATATGTCTAGTACAATGAAATTTTTTTAAATTTACAGGTTAGAAGATCGTGAACTTTTAATTTTAACTCATAGATAGTGTTGTCTATAATGTTGAACTGAGTTAGATTTCGTAAAAATAAGGTTCAAACTTCTTAACTTTTCCATATTAAACAAGTAACTACACATATTAAATCCTTTTATTTTTTTCAAGTGGGGTCCTAGGGCCCAGTACTCTCCACCTCCTTAGTAGGGCTGACTATTTGGTCCGGACTGTTTGGTTTTACCCGAAACCGGACCGTATAACCCGGACCGGAACCGGACTGGAACTGGATAACAAACAATCCAATCTCATATTCGGGCTTAGATTTGAGGTAAAAACCCGGATAAAGACCGGATAAGAGACCCTAACACCTAAAATCAAGATCAAATTGGGACTGGACCGGGTCAAGACCGGACCGGATCAAGACTGGACTATATCCAATCCAATCTTTGGTCCTTATATTCCCGAAAGACCGGACTGGGACCGGATCAATTTGATCCAATTTAACCGGACCGGACCGTATAGCCACCCCTACTCCTTAGCCACTGTCATACTCAATCTAAAGATTCATAGAAGCTCGATAATAATCCTAAATTGTTGGATAGTGCTGATCACAAGCCGCCAACCCAGCCCATCGTAGCGGCCCATGCTCATACACACGGAATGGACGTGGAGCATTATGCTTCTAAAACCCTAGATACAAGTTGTATAGGGCTATATAATGAATGTATTGGCTTCGGCCGCAGCTAAGTTCATCAGATCAATAATATTGCAGCCGGAGAGTCTTGTGACTCTCCCATGGACTAGTCTCGACACACCGTCGAGGATACCACGTAAACCTTGTCTTCTTGCTTTTCACGATCCAGTTCTAGGTCGATTTCTCATGGTATCATAGCTCTAAGGTTCTTCTTCTGCTGGCAATTATGGTGGACACCCAGAATGACAAATCGGTGGCTACCACTACTTCAGAAACCTCGGCGGCTGGTGCGCTCAATCTACCGCCGGAGTATCAGCTACGCAACTCGGATGGGCCTGGTCAGATGCTGGTCGGCGACGTCCTGACTTCCTCAAATTATGGCGAGTGGGTACTCGATATGAAAGACTCACTGATCGCCAAGTACAAATACTCGTTCGTTGATGGTTCCCTTGAAAAACCAGCTGCTGGTGAGCAACGGAATGTCTGGATTCGTTGTGATGCGATGATCAAAGGTTGGCTAAAGACGGCCATGGACAAGGAGATCCGCAGCAGTGTGCAATTTGCTGAAACGTCGCGTGAAATCTGGGAGGATCTTCAGAGTCGATTCAGCACGGGGAATGCTTCTCGAGCTTACGAGCTGTGACGCATGGTTCGCTCCCTCCAACAAGAAAAACTCTCTGTTTCAGCCTTCTACACAAAGTTGCGGGGACTCTGGAAGGAAACGACAGCAATAGCTCCCATCCCTAGCTGTATCTGCGGGCACTGCACTTGCGGCGTGTCCCTGCGCATCCGTGAGCAGCAAGATAACTCGCGGTTGTTCGATTTTCTGATGGGCCTTGACGAGGCGTTCACCGGGGTCAGAACACAAGTATTGGCTATGAAACCTACACCCTCTCTCTCGGAAGCTTTCAATCTTGCTGTTCATGAAGAACAACAACGATTAATTACTCAAAATCGCCGCCCGAGTTCCGAGGCGGCAGCCTTTGCTGCACGAACTGATGGAGACTAGGGCTGCAAACGAGCCGAGTCGAGTCGAGTTTTTGCTTAGCTTGAGCTCGGCTCGTTTATTAATTTTTCAGCTCGAGCTCGGCTCGAACTCGAATTTTGATAATCCAGCTCGAGCTCGAGCTCGGCTTGAATAAAAATAATCTAGCTCGAGCTCGACTCGGTAGAGCTCGATAAATGCTCATTAACATAGCTTGTTAAGCTGAGTACAATCTCGGCTCAAGATGAGCTCGATTTAAAATCATTTTTGCTGGAAAAATGTATAAACATAAGAATTTAAATGATAGAAAGAACACTAGAAACTAGAAATAACATCTAAATTTCATACACATCTGTATTATAAGACAATGTTCATGTTTAAAAGAGTAATTCATCCTTCCACAAGCTCAAAACAAGGCAGCTCGCGAGCTTAGCTCGACAAGCCACCGAATCAAGCTAGCTCGCGAGCTTATCAAGCTGAGCATGGTCTAGCTCAGGCTTGGCTCGTTAACTAACGAGTTGGCTCGCGAGCCGGCTTGTTAAATAACGAGTCGAGTGTCGAACGAGTTTTTTCCGATTCGAATGCCGAGTTGCTCGCGAGCGGCTTGACTCATTTGCAGCCCTAATGGAGACAGAGGCGGGCAGCGTGGTTCGCGCGATATTCCCAGGTGCAGTCACTGTCAAAAGCGCGGCCATGTGAAAGAGACATGTTACGAACTAATAGGGTATCCTCCCCGTGATGACCAGCAACGACGTAAACCTCGGCACGGGGGAGACTCTTCTGGTCGTGGGGACTGGACCAGCAGTGACCGCGAGCTGGTTGGACGTGAGGATGGGCCTGGTCGTGATCGGGAAGCTTCTCGTCGAGAGGCGCCGCCGCGGGGTCGCGAGCACTTTGGCCGTGATCGAGAGCCACGAGCTGCCCAGGCGGACCAACCTAAGGAGAAGAGCAGCCCTGTCGCGGGTTTCACTGCGGAACAACTCGAGCAGCTTCGGCAGTACTTTGGCTATCCACATAAAGGGTCTGACGACCCGGCAGCCCACTTAGCAGGTATGGTTCCCTTTCAAACTGAATGGTTGCTTGACTCTGGGTGCAATGAGCACATTACAATGGATGAGACGATATTGATGAACAAGGTATCCAGTGAGAATGGTCCACCCGTTCGCATACCGAACGGTGACAGCGTTCCTGTTAAACACATTGGTAGTGTTAGCTTACAGCCTGGGGTTGAGCTTAGTCGTGTTCTTCACGTACCTGATTTTTGGTGCAACCTCATTTCGGTAAGCCGTCTCATGCAGGGTAATCGTGTGGCATTAATATTTATCGGTGATTTTTGCGTACTCCAGGACTTGACCTCCAAGAGGTTGATTGGGAAGGGTGAACTACGTGATGGCCTCTATTACTTGCAGCTGTTTGGTGTAGGGCGTACTCGAGCTTGTGCCGCGAAGCAACAAGCAGTGATTTCTGAAGATCTTTGGCATGCCCGGTTGGGCCATGCAGCTCACGACAAATTGGTGCAATTAAAGGATGTCCTCTCTTTGTCTTTTAGTTTGAATAAGCAGCCCTGTGACTCTTGTATACGGGCCAAACAAACTCGGCTTGCATTTCCTAGAAGTGCGGTTCGCACTAAACGTTGTTTTGATTTGATTCATGTGGACATCTGGGGTGGCTACAAGGTTGCTTCACTTAGTGGAACTCACTATTTTCTCACGATAGTTGATGATTTCAGTCGTGGGGTGTGGATTTATTTACTTCGTTATAAGTCTGATGTGGGCCGATACTTAATGATGTTTGATCAACAAATTCGTACACAATTCGGGCGCCGTCTTGTGCGCATTCAGGCTGATAACGGTCACGAGTTCAATACATTGGTTTTACAGGATTATTATGAGCGGGAAGGAATTGTTCTTCAAACATCATGTACGGATACTCCGCAACAAAACGGAGTTGTGGAACGTAAGCACAGGCACT